AGTGAGCTAGTAAATTAAGGGCAGAATTTGAGGATAAATACTTGTAACGATAGCTGGCACAATTCATTCATCCGTACAGGTAGCGTGTTGAATATTGCATTTTACACTGTTGTTACCTACATTCTAACAAACTCTAGTACGTAAGGGTCTCTTTGCTCCTTTATATGGCTTACCAAACAGGCCTAACCGTCTTCTAGAGGTACGAGTGCAGTGTCCATTGAAGTACATTTAGTCATGTTCAATTTTATTCTACATCATATCATTTTTTGAAAGCACGCACTTTTAGTTTAGATTTAGAAATTTTAATTAAAACGTATACTTTTTGTTTGTAGTTAATTGAATATAACGATATAAATAACGTTATCCGGTTGTTCCTAAGATTTTTACTAAACTTATATATAAAAGTATAAAAGCCCATTATAGATGTCGTCGATTATTCGGTCGGTTCGGCACTAATCGAGCGTGAAAGAGCAAATAGTTATATTCCTAATATAATTTGTTCCTTTGCTTATGCTTTATTCTTTAGTCAAAGTCTGTAGCGCGACAAACAGGTCATAAGTTCAGCATAAAGTTCAGCTTTAAGGCTAATAATAATAATAACAATGCTTACGAATATTTTTAATTGTCTGACTGTTTCAGACTTAGATTTGGGTAAAATGCTGTGTTCCACGGACGTACCCCGTTTCGGGCTCAGGTGCAACGTCTTTTTTGTAAATGTTGCTTAACTTATATTTGAACAGTATGTTTAAAATACAATAAGCATACATCTTATCCAAATTTGATAGACGAAATTGTCCCTGCTCCTAACCCCTTCGTTTTTACCATAGCAGCGTGCTAGACAATTATGAAAATAGGGATTATTTAGTGATCACTGACATAGATTCCAATTGCGATCTCATTCGGTTGAAAAAACTACGGTTTTTTTTATTTTTGTAGCTGCGCATCCTTTAAACGAGGAGACGTATGTTTATAGTGGATATGGAAACGCCATGCAGATGTATACGATTAGGTAAAACGTATCATTTTAGAGAATGCTGTGATTATTTATACGCATTTGTTACGCGTTTTTTTACTTTACGTGTTTCTCTATAAATATATATTATTCCGGGTACGATGCGAGCGGTGCCACGAGGATCAAAACACGATCTTCTCGATATACGCAATATATATAGAGAGTCGGGATATAGATAGCAATAATAATCAAATTCGTATAGAAAACTTAGGGTCACCTTTAGCGGGAAAACTTAGCGGGCTAATTTGAATTAGCAGTGAGGAGCCAAAAAAAGAACACTTAGCATATTTGCGGCAAAGATTCCATTCGACGAACAAAAGCCTGACATAATGCTTCCAGATTATATTTCAAACCATGATTCCATGTTGAGATATGCTATGTTGGCTTCATAACAAGGTATTCCTTTATCAACTTAATTGCAGGCGGATCTAATGTGTTCGTATCACGTAGACGCCACATATATACAAATCACAACAATAAACATACGAACACGATGGACACGCGTTGTGCTGTACAGATGTTTATGTGTGGCTTTGGATTTCTATTTATTTTCTTAAATTAGCTGATACAAAGGCAGCCTTCAGCGATAGGTCTTCCTTTCTTATCTAGAAACATCCATCAGTACAAAGTAATCATAAGCTCAACTATGTACGAATCAGGGAAAAACTGATTCTTCGGATCAAGTACCGTTAGTTCTGCACAGTTTTGGTGTAGGCCTAACCGAAACAAGTCTAAAATTATTTTTTATGATGATCGATATCTAGGCAAGGTTTACTAGGTCTTCCTAGTTAGGTGTCATTTAAGTTTGTCCGAAAGATCACACATGATCGGACTAATTTGTGAAATTAGCTAGACGAGCGGCTTCAAACGAGGGCCACGAAAAGCCGCTACCACATTATGGATTGCAAAACTGCGATGATAATTATGAGTTATCAGAATCGGAATTGTGGGTAAAAAAATTGCCTAGAGTGTACTGGTAGAACAGAAATGAATATATGACCATTCTGCAGGAAGCTTCCATACTTTCAGCAAACTTATGCGGGCATTGAAGAGATAGATAAGGGGCCACTCGCTGACAGAATTAAGCCTTGTTGCATTTAATAGTACATACTTTATTAACAAAACCACTTGGTATTTAGCTTTAAAACGAATTTTATTGAGGATAAGTGTATTTGTTTCGGTATGGCTTGTTACTCTTCGGCTACTAAGGACTGTGCTACTAAAAGGAAATCTATGCAAGAAATTGCAGACTAGAAGCACGAATAGGTTAACTCTTTGATTGGATTTGGATTTGGCGATTGAATATTTAAAGCTTATATACACCTATCAGAAAGCTATAAAATAGCAAATAAAATGCCGTATTGCACTTTATTGTTCTGAAATTTTGTATGTATGTTATATAAGCTGAATGAGGCGTTTTGTAAAGATGCTCAGCATGGCTAATTAAACTCCAGTTAGAATAGTGCTCGTACTGTACGTACACTGTAAATATGTGGCTAATTTTTATGTTTAATTTATTCTATAATTATATATTTCAAGTCATTTGCATTGCTATGCTCAGCTGTTTGAACTAATTTTGTTGGACCCAATCGTGCGCAGTCAACGTTACAAGACTTAAACTTCCTAGAAAAATATACCTTTATTTACTCATCTGCAGATCTTAAGGAGAAGTCTTTAAACTATTATTTAATTTATTCATTGCAAAGTATAAGTTTAGTTCTGTTTTAGTAAAAGTATAAAACAATTGAAAATAGCTAAGAACGTCCCAGCGAATAAAAATTCCTTCTTTTAAGTTTTTGCATAAGTAGGCAAAGCTTCAGTTTTCATTCCTAGAAATTATAAATTGTAGTTTGACAATAACAAAGTGTAGTCAAGAAAGACGAAATGAATGTTAACAAAAAATGAAGATATTTTTGAAACAAGCAGAAGTAGGGTTCAACTTCCTAAATTAAAAGCCAGCGGTAATTGAACCGATATTTGATAGCCAATGCTTTGAATATTCAGAAAAATGAAACCGCTAACACGCGATGTTGCTTTAAGCTATATGAAATTTGCAGTGTGCGACTTGAGAGACCGCTTGGTAACGGCTGTGAATATTATCCTTAATGGGTAGATTGACGGATCACACGGCAAGTACTGAGTTAGAAATTCGATAAAGTATCGTATGAAATGACTGGTATACCATCGAGCTATACATTCTTCACAAAATATATGATTAAGTAACGTAAGTTTCATGTTAAGGAACAAAGTCAGAGTTTCTGTCACACGCGCGAGTTCGATGTAAAATTAACAGGCAGCGACAAGTGCCGAGTATAATAGTGGTCGACGATTGCTTGGAAATTCTCACGTTGCTAATAGCTGCTGAGATGAATCAATTTCTTTTTTCAAAATGATCTGCCGAAACCCGGGATCGAACCAGGGACCTTTAGATCTTCAGTCTAACGCTCTCCCAACTGAGCTATTTCGGCCGTGTTCTGCGGTACCCTCCTAGTCTTCCTCAAAGAAAAAAATTGTTGTAGATACGGTGGTTGCACGGATGAGTTAATAAAAGCAACATCTAAGCTAAATGATCTGATAAAAGTACTGTTACAGTCTCTCAATAGAAACAGTGATTGCAAAAGTTACTATTCATTAGCCAAGAATAGTGGGTACGTTGATGAGGATTAAAGACTAAACAAAAAGTTACTGGGAATTAAAATCAAAGTTCATATTTTAGATTTTTTATTTTTGTGTAGATCTAAAACAATCTACGGCATATGTTCCGCAACAAATGTAATTTAATAAAAGAGAACCTAAAATCCTCTTGTTTAGCCCACATTGTAGCCATTGTATTCTCGAATAGAAGTCTCGGAGTAACTATGTAAACTTATTAATAGCTACGTTAGTGAGTTATATGACTTATCGAGTTTATCTGAACCGCCCCTTAACGAAGAAGTCTACGCGATTTTATACAAATTCAATTTAGATGGGCTTATTTTATGCAACAAGCGAGAAGTACGACAATATTGCTACAAATAACACGGGCTATTATGTTTTAGATGTTGGTTTTGCAAGTAAATTTAAGTCAATTGGTTCTCAAATCAACACTGGAGCTTTTTTGTTTACACGTAATTTTATACTTTGTTTTATTATTTAATTCCTTCCTAAAGAATAATAATGTGTATTTTAAATTCTGTTCTCGAATAGCGGTTTCTTTTTATAAGAATGCCATCGGTCGTAGCGGTGTAGTGTCAACCGAAAGCATTTTCGCACATGCAACTGCGAAATGAATTAACACTTTGTATTTAATCATTAATGCGACTAACTGCGACCTCATAAAAAAAATGCGAAATGAAAGTTATTTTTCCTGAGCAAGTTTTCGGCTAATCAAGATCACACACCTAAAAATCACTTATTTGTTTCTTTATATCATAGTGGACAAAAAAACTACGTGTCAAAAACATTTTGAAATCTGTGTTCAATGTTTGTTGAAGACTTTTTCGTGCGAAGTTCGTTGGAAAGTTTTTTTCCTCAACACAAAGAGTTACAAGCTTCTTTGAAGGCCAAAAAAACTTCGCAATAATTTGCACTGCTAGAGAATCTGACAAAAATGTCATTCTCGTCTTGGATGTGCTTTTCCAAATAACGGAAAAAGTGTACGAATTTCAGAACAAAAACTAAGATTAATCATTGAATGTTTAATTATTATTTATTAAAAATAACAATTCGTTGCTTCTTTTCTAGATCGACCGGCCATTTTAATGTACACTTCTATCGTACGTAATTATTTGTGCCCGAGGAGAAGCACTGTTACAGAGATTAAGTCAATGAAATGTTGAATGAAATATAGTTCGCGACCATTTGTCTGCACCGCTCAGACCGCACCGAATGCCTCGTCGACACCGCCCCGGTGGATTTTCTATAAGGGCAACACTTTTCATGAGCTATAGCTGTGGTGCGTGGTACAGTTGAAAAGCGCGCGCTTTTAGCTTCTCATCACTGATCTGTGCCTACTACTAGAAGGCCCTTTCCGCTAATTTATGCTCCGGCGTCTCTTATCATATGATAACAAATCTCACCTTGATGCTCACTTGTTGACAGCCCTTGGCGGTCGCCGTGTTTTATCGTGGCCGCATGTGCCAATCTCGGTTATTCAAGCAAAACCCTTGTCTGACATCGTGTGTGCTAACCGTGTGCAGTAGCTTTACATCGTGTTTGCGGGTGCATTGAGTGTGAATCTTCCCGCGATTTTACCATTATCCGGAAACAATGGCCCAAACTGCTGTGAAAGTTGTCGTCACCGGGGCTGCCGGTCAGATCGGCTATTCACTCGTCCAAATGATCTGCCGTGGCGATGTCTTCGGGCCGAATACACCAGTTGTTGTGCACTTGCTCGATATAACGCCAATGGTTACTGCGCTCGGTGGACTCGTTATGGAGCTTGAAGACTGCGCCTTTCCATTACTGAAAGGCATTGTGCCAACAGACTGCGTTAAAACAGCATTCACCGATGTCGATGCCGCTTTTCTCGTTGGGGCTATGCCCCGCAGGGAGGGTATGGAACGCAAGGATCTGCTGTCGGCGAACGTGAAGATATTTAAAACGCAAGGACAGGCCCTTGACCAGCATGCCAAAAAGACTGTCAAGGTGCTCGTTGTCGGTAATCCGGCCAATACCAACGCGTTGATGTGCTCCAAGTATGCGCCGTCTATTCCAAAGGAAAACTTCACAGCGATGACACGGCTGGACCAGAACCGTGCATGTGCCCAGATCGCAAAGAAAATCAGCAAGGGCGCCGAACAGGTGAAAAATGTTATCATATGGGGTAACCATTCGTCGACTCAGTTCCCTGATGCGTCGAACGGTATTGTATGCGATGACTTCAGTTGTCAGAGAGTGCCAGAAGCTGTTAATGACAATGCATACCTTCAGGGCGACTTCATTACCACGGTGCAAAAACGTGGCCAGGCCGTGATTCAAGCTCGGAAGCTGTCATCAGCAATGTCAGCTGCAAAGGCTGCCTGTGACCACATGCGTGATTGGTGGAATGGCACAAAGCCTGGTGAGTATGTATCAATGGGTGTTATCTCTGACGGCTCGTATGGGGTCGCCAAGGATGTCATCTTTTCGTTTCCTGTCGAGATCAAGGACCGTCAGTGGAAGATCGTTCAGGGTTTGACTATATCACCGTTCGCCCAAGAGAAACTCAAAATCACTGGAGATGAGCTGCTTCAAGAAAGAGAAGAGGCTTTGTCGGTGTGCCAGGATTGACTCAAGGCAACGTCTACAGCTAAACTATAAACTTTCATTAACGACATTATTATAATCAATATTGTAGACTTCTAACGACTGAGAAACGGGTGTTACAGAAAACGTAAGCGGATATATTAGTCACCGAGAAGCACAAAACTGGTTTCGTAAAACTGAGGCTACTTAGTCGAAAACTATTTTGCGCTGCCACAATCACCTTCTAATGTGAAACACTACGCGACTAAAATTTATCAAAATAATCTTTATATCAAGAAATATCATATGTACGGCCTTATAGGGAGAAAAACTTCTGATCGGCCGTGCCCAACGAGACTCCTTGGCATCTACGTTTCTGGCATATACACGACTAAAGAAGTTGATCAGAAAGCGACTTGGTTTCGGCATTTCACTTTCTTTCGCAATTATTAGTGATAACATAGCTTAATATAAAAACACTTCATTAAAAGGCACACTCAGGCCAGTTAACGTGGGGTTAGCTACTATAGAATCATTGGTTTTCTGGATATTTTTCACCTCGTCGATATGATCGATCCAGTTTCTTTTCCCTGCATGCACGACTAGTGGTAGTCATCATGTATTGGGCTATTGTTTAAACATCTGATCCATTCCTTGGTTTATAAATTTTTAGCTGTAGATGAACAGAGAAAACTATGAGTGTAAGAAAATTGCAGTGAATGTATTATGGGTCCCCGTTCGACCTCAACACGAACAACAAAAAGACGATAGTTCTGTAACGAAAATAAAATAGAATGTTGAAGCTGTTATTAATAGTTATGTGGTTATTTGTAGCTAGCGTGAAAGGATATGAATCAATTCAAAAGGGTAGGTTTTATGAGAGTAGAAATAAAATTAAGTTCGTAATTTTTAGTTAAAAAAAAAAAATCTTTTGTATTCTTTGTTCTCTATACTTTATCTGGATTTTATATCCATCTTGAGTTTGCCGGAAATCTAATTATTAACGTGAGCCAGATAATAGCACCCGCCTAGCTCAGTGGTTTGTGTTAGCTATTCGACAGGGGAAGTATGTTATTTCGTCTTTAAATACCAAAAGAACATCGCCGAACTAAAAGAAACAATAAGCAGTCACGCTGAATGATTGGATCGCTCCTGTCCTTATACTGATTTCATTTAAGCAACTGTTTTCTAGAAATTTATTAAAATATGTTTACCTAACATTTAAAGAGGCACAATACAACTTGATATCATTTATAAACTTAACTTCGAAGAGACGTAAATTAAGGTTACTCAACAAACTACAACAGGTGTTTTCCGTGATAATTTCCCGGAGCCCGATCGATAGGTGTTCGAATGCTCTAATATAATTTTATAACACATGCAAAACTTTAGGCGCCAGAAGCAACCGCATGCTCGACAGACAAGAATCGCGCCTCTGACTTTGTATAGCCTCGTTGGAATAGGCAGTCTAACTCTCATTTAACGTTCTACGACGGTTCCAGAATATCTGGCGCTTTTTCTCTTTGTCAACAGTGTCCCGTCGTGCGTAGCAGTTGATGGAAGACTAACTGCACTACAACAACCTCGTTTATACGACATACCCGAGGGCAGCACAATCGTCGGGTGATTAGATGGCCGGCTAGAAAGCGTAGACGAAGCAAACTTTAGTTTTATATCAAGCTGTCACGAAGTTTGTCGATGTTTACCGACGCCCGCCTACCACAGTCGCCGTCCATGCGTAGCAGCGATATCCTCGACCACTGGCTGTTGCAGAAACGGCCCAAGTGGGTAAGGATTCAACTAGATAAAGGGAGAGCTAGTAAGCTCCGGATAGCAATATAGACTGTTATACGGGGGATGAGGGAAACCGCTAAACGGTGACTTAGGTAGATAATTGTGCGAAACGGGCTTTCGCTAAATGGCGGCAAGCTTTGAATATTCACCGTTTTGGAACATTACAGGTTCTGTAAAGTAAGAATTATAAATAATTGATGCTGGCTGCGTTACAATAAAGGATCGATTCCACGGAGAGTTCATATTAATTAATGACGATTGTAAATCCACGTGTCTGATAACGTGTCGCTGACAGGAGATCAAAATGTGTGTGTGCACGATTGAGATAATGGGCAGTGCCTATTATCTCAATCGTGCACCCAGGGAGCACCAAAAAGCCGCCTGTGGCTGAAAGATGAGCAAGCGTAAAACGACCTTGGTCGCGAAAGGCTGTCGGCTAAAACGGCTAGCGATAATGGAGGAGACCAAATAATCTCTCAGATAATAACAATTTCCTTGCTAATGATATCAGTAGATTGTTTTGTGCAATACTATAGGGCGTGAAATTATCTGTGGTCAAAGGTCACAGAAAATCCGAGGAAGCTTCATAAGTTGCCACCAACGATAGAAATTTGATTATACAAGAATTTCTAATATATGAGAAACTTGGGTTTTAATATGTGTATATATAATACACAAATTGTGTGCCAGTTATTGAGAAAGAGAGTTCTTAGCAACCAATGACTATCCCACATGTAAATACTAGCTTATTACGAGGCTAAAATTGAGATACTCAAAGGTATTATATTTGTAATTAAAATTTTCTAAATAATTTGTTTGTATGATGGGTGAGTGAAAGCTGTCCATTCCGCAAGCCACCCAATAAAGCAGACTCCAATAGCTTTTTCAATTTCTAAATTTTCTGACCGATACATAAAAAGTAATATTGGCAGTTCGATTGCGTGGGTTGGAAGCTACCACTTAGTCATATTTTTATTAGTGTAAAAAATAAGTAATATTGTTATTAACCTTTACTCAATTGCAAGTAAGTGAAGGTACTCCATATTTGTAATGAGTTTGGAATTCATCCTCAGACATAGTCAGAAAAATACAATAATAAGTAAAACCAAAGTGGCATATTTAATACTACTGTCTACAACACATTTTCACAAGGCGCGTGTTCCATGTTAATTGCTTTGATGTATGATGTCAATAATAGAGTTTAGAGGCAGCAAAACAAGGCGTTTATATTAGGAAAGCGTCTGGTAATTGGCTGGTTTCTCGTGATATGAGAGTGTTAAACCTAGGCGACATTATATATATTATTATACTTATAAAACATAATAATTCGCTCCTATGATGAATTCTCGATTGCTGAGCGCCCACTTTATATATAGGCTAAAATGTATTCTGCTTTCTAGGCAAGTTCAGACAACATCAGCGCGCAAGCGCACCACCGGCTAATTCCTTACGGATCGGAATTCGTTGTGCGCGACCTGGCTTTCATAATTTTCATGTGTTTTGTCAGTTTTTACACGTATATACAGATAGACTGTGTGCTGCTATATACATTGGTAGTGGTGGCATAGGTGCCAATCAAGGAAACTCAGCTACATGCACTTATATGGGTATATACAACTATTACTATTGTTAAAATTAGACAGTGTGTTTTTAGTAAGTTTTTGGCGCTGGTACGTTGCAGCTTTTTGCGGCAAAGGAACTAAATTGTAGGACGTCAAGGCTGGGCTTTGTAGACGATATCCAATTATTATCTGGAGACTGTTGGAAACATCGTAACTTTGACAGGGATTGTTACACTGACTGAAAGCGATATCCTCGATGCGGGCTGCAATTGTTTATGACTGGTTAGCCCTCTGTAACGTAAGCACAATGGGCCAACGTGGATACCAAGGTTAATGGTCGGACTTTACAACGCCAGCATCTCTCTTCAGTGTTTTGACAGTTGCAAACTGTCGTCAGAGGTCCATATAACATAAAAATGCATATATTAGTATAGGAACATTACTAATAGAAGTTCAGTTTTATGAGGAACTTATATCGAAACAACGTAATGAGGATATCGAAGAAATGCAATGACGTTCACTTTGCATGCTACGTCTTGAAACAGACATGAAGTTGAACACACTCGTAGAACTACCGAGCAGTTCTGCGAATAGTTGTGGAAAAGGGATATGCTAATGCGCAATGACATTAGGAGACACACTGGGATTTTTTGTCAGCATTACATTTCAATACACAGAAAGCGGCTTTATTTGATCAAAACTAGTTGCAAGTTGATATAAAAATGGAAGATAGATACTTTTAGGAAAACACTTTTATGTGCGGGTGATCAGGAGTTGTAGTGACTGGATAGGGCTCAGAAAAAATCGGGTAGCGTAATCTATCACCCGCAGCTATCAATATTCATTATCGCAAAAATGAGGTTTGATACGCAACGTCTTTTAGCATTCTCCCTTTGTACCATCGTAGTAAGTGGTACTACTATGAACGCTTAATACAACTACTCAGGACTCCTGGTTCTAGTTCATTGATACGGTAAATGCATGTTTTGACAGGGTCAGTCGAGAAAAACAAGCCGCGGGGAGATAAACCTCAGCAAGCTAATTCTGACAACATAATGAAAAAACCTAATTTGTGAATCATCTTTATCAAGTAGCAGATCTATGTATGTAATTTTTCGTATTTCTTCCCTCTTCGTTTATTAACGTCACAGGTATTCGTCAGGTCTATCATTTCTGGAGCTAAGCTTGAAGATGCAGAAATAGTTGAACTCTGCGTATAGCTATACGCTGGTTGAAGTACTTTTTTTTTTATCTAACTCTAGAATAGGTTACAAATATACATTGTAACATGCCTCATCCATTTTGCGTGTTGAGTCCATGTATTTTAATCCTATATGCCCTTTTATAACCGTTGTGTAGTCAACACTTATGAATGCTGACTCAGGTGCCCAGTTTACCTGCGGAAAGCTTGCCAGATTTATCGTACGCCTATTACGTATATACTAATTAGTAATCATTGGCATTATTTTCGGGCGACAATCACCCACCCTTATATTACACAATGTATATCGCTGAATGTCAACTTTGATTTTTCTTACGAATTTATTTTACTTTATTTATCATTTCGTATTGCAAACCACTATAGATTGGTTCCTTGGTAAAAAAAAAAGAAAGATTATAAGCAAATGGGTATATGTCAAGGCAGTGAGCAAAGGGCATCGTTTTCATTTCTGCCCAAATTATTTACGAACAACACCGCTCTAGATACTGGTAAGTCTTTGCATGATTGGATGATATTTGGTTACAATCAACACCAGAACCCGTTTAATTATTTCAAAAATGCATTGATTGCATAAAATGCTTAATAAGATTAGTTTTTGACTTCACCAATTACTTTCCCTGCGCTGTGGCAAACAATCGACTGATCAAGTCGTTCCTATGAACAATCAGCTATTATTATACTTATTATAAATCAGATTTTCTTTTCGGCTGTTTGGAATAGTTCTATTGAGTGACATAGGTGTCCGAAGTGTTTATCGGAGCCTTCTGTTGGTTATGTAGTGCGGACGGGTTGATATCGCCGTGCAAGAAGACGTCTTGGCCGACTTTTAGGACTAGCTCTTGTAGACGGCCTTGGCTCGCCTCGAGCTCCTTGAGTAGCTGCCGACCGATGATACTCCCACTGAGGATGAGCTCAGTTGCGGTGTTGACAACGAAATGAAACGACGGCTTTGAAAACCCATTGAAATTTGAAGCGGTACTGCATGTGTACGCGCCCATGTCGCGGAACAGGAGCCAATCACCAATCTCCAATTTTGGCAGCAGCACGTTTTCGTGCACCTTGTCAAGTGAGTCACACGTTGGGCCCCACAACACACTAGGGTAACTCACTCCGGTGTTCCGTTTGCCAACTGGTATCGGCTGCGGATCGTTGTGGTCAAACACCTTACAGTTGAAACTGCCATAAACCCCGTCGTTGAGGTAGTACATGAAGCGATTGTCGTGTTCTTGACGCACAGCGATCACGGTCGTATATAGGGTGAAGGCGGAGGCCGCCATGAAGTGGCCCGGTTCAGCGATTACTTCAACACCGCATCCTTCCGGAAAACTTTCATCCAGCTGACGATTGATGGCCCGTGCACAATTATCGAACAGTGGTTCGGAGCCGCTGTTGCCGGGAAACCCGCCGCCGAGGTCGAGGAGAGTCATTTGGAAGTCGTACAGCTCGGCCTGGTCGAAGATACGGCGGGCGTTGAGGATGGCTTTGGAAAAGCACTCCGCGTCGCTATATGCAGAGCCGACATAGAAAGACACACCCACGACGTTAAGGTCAAGATCGGCGGCCACCTCTAATAGTTCTGCAAATAGATAAAGACCCAGTAAACGTAAAAATTAGCGTTTTCAAAAGCCCTAAGTCTATCTATCTATCTATCTATCTATCTATCTATCTATCTATCTATCTATCTATCTATCTATCTATCTATCTATCTATCTATCTATCTATCTATCTATCTATCTATCTATCTATCTATCTATCTATCTATCTATCTATCTATCTATCTATCTATCTATCTATCTATCTATCTATCTATCTATCTATCTATCTATCTATCTATCTATCTATCTATCTATCTATCTATCTATCTATCTATCTATCTATCTATCTATCTATCTATCTATCTATCTATCTATCTATCTATCTATCTATCTATCTATCTATCTATCTATCTATCTATCTATCTATCTATCTATCTATCTATCTATCTATCTATCTATCTATCTATCTATCTATCTATCTATCTATCTATCTATCTATCTATCTATCTATCTATCTATCTATCTATCTATCTATCTATCTATCTATCTATCTATCTATCGATCAATCAATCAATCAATCAATCAATTTTTCAATCAATCAGTTTTGTCACTTATTACTGATAATGGTCAACGACATTATGTGCTCTTCCATTAACTATGTAAAAGACAAATCGCGAAAAAGCACCAGCGATCATGGCACAGTCTTTCTACTGTAATGCTTATTTAGTGGCATACTTACTTGGTACGTCATCGAGGGCAGCTCCAAATTTCGCGCTAAGCCGCATCGGTGAGCTGGAGTCATTTACTTTGATCCTAAGCACGAGTTCAGCTTCAGGGTAGATTTCAGCAATCTTCTCAAGTTCGTCTTCGTTATCGAATGTCATCCGCTTAACACCCCGAGATCGGGCATGCTTTATGAAGCTGCGGGTTTTGCATGGATTGGCATAAATAATTCGCAAAGCGTCCACTCCGGTCTCATTGAAGACCGCCTCGATTTCTTCCTTTGAGGCACAGTCAAAGCCAAAGCCGAAATGCGCAATCGTTTTAAGGACCGTAGGGATGGGATTACATTTGACGGCATAGAAAGGGATCACACGTGGCATCTTGAGTCTCCAGAGCTTCACCTTACGACAAATGTCGCCTAGGTCGACGATGTAGAACGGTTCGTCATGGCGCCAATCAGTCACGAGCTTGCTAAAGGCGTCATTCATGGTTGTTGTGTCTCGCTGCATCCTTTTGTACGTTGCAATTCTACGGCGAAGCTGCCGTAAAAATTCTACACCTGTAATAGCAGTTATCATATAACATTGCCTTAACTACTACGATACGAAGATTTTGATGCATATAAAAATACATGTATAAATCACTGTGGAGGCGGTGAAGTGCATAATTACCAAGAAACGTTAGAATAGCTGGTGGGAAAAACGACGCGATGATCGACTTAAGGAATCAATCGATTCCTTAAGTTTTGACATAGCTGCATTCGTTCTTCTACCTGTCCTCGTATGAAGCTTTGCACGTTTCATGCTAAATCTAACTATCTAAACCAGTCTACAATTATTATACCTGGTATCAGCTGAAAGCGCTGGAAAACATCCTTTATGTTTACTTCAATACGAGCATACTTATTCTGAGCTAAGCTACCCTAGTCACAACCGTAGTCATTTGAACAAAATGTGGTTGGCAAAAATGTTTTCAAAATCTCGGATTTAATCAGTGTATGGCAAGTTAACCCATACATGCAAACTAACCGAAATATTCACCGATTAGCAAAATCATGATGACATCCTCGCGTGCATGATTACGACAGTACGTATTCCTTTTATTGGTGAGCGTCGTCGACCTATATATTATGACTAACTGATGACATAAAAGAGTGCGCTCTTCTAATGAAACTAAATACTTGCCGCTGTGAAATGTAGCATTTATCTAACCATGAATGAATGCAGCCATTTATGATACTATATGACAACTGTATTGATATGCCCTTAATGAGATCGCTGCGTTGACCTACGGGTCTACGGAGAGCAAGTTAAAGGTCGTTCTTGTTATTGTCTGCGGTACCACGCGATTTTTACGCTACTCACACGGTACGGTCGCCAAAGTCCAACCATCTTAATTTTAGATTGTGTCACGCGAAGATCCGCTAGAAGATTCGCTACTTGCTCAACTACGTAACTGCATAGTTACGCAGCAATTTTAGTCATTTTTCACGAGATAATTCTGCTAACTTAACATTAACAAAGTAGCTATATTCACATACTCCTGTTCTAAGAACTTTACACATGTACTCTGATTTTTAGCGTAGTTTATGTTACAGTGTTCTCCGACGTCATATGTACAACGTATCACATTGTTTGGTGAATAGTGAAGATAGCTTTATACTGTTCGCTATTCAGTTTACCACCATGCCCGTTACCGTATATCTGTACGTATATCTATATCGATAGTATTATATGGCTATCCTCGTTGTGTCATTGCGCCTAGAGCCGCCATATTGCCCTGGGTCTTCCTTCAACAGAACCAGCGACGTTAGAGAGCATCACGAGATTGCTGACAAGCGACCGTTGGCGTGGTGACGGAAGTGATGTGCGATTTTTCTAATAATTGTGCACAAATTACCTTTTAATGTACAGCAACTCATTATTAATGCTAGCAATGCATTATTAATGACGACGATCATGATAATCATCGTCGCGCCCAACGTTGACGCCATTCTACTGACGCTCTACCGGGAAGAAGCGTGTTTCATTTAAAATAGGTCACCCAGTCAGATAGGCCAACGTGCTAGTATTCCTTCCGCAATTTCCTATGCCCGTTGCATATTATCTTATACTAGGATGCTTCCTGGTTTCCGCGCAGTAGCAACTGACGCTGAACGACACCGCAACGTTCGTGTAACTCTCGGGCTGCTTTCGCCTTCGTCTGCTTCATCGGGGCTGACGGCCAGAGAAGTTTACTAGAACGGTGCACCTCAACGGCCATGCTCGCCGTTCATGACTCAGATAACGTTGGTTCGATTGGATAGTATAGCCAACTAGCTGCATTGTATAAGACGACGACAGGGATTGCAGAGAATTTTGTGCAGCAAATTACCTTGAACAGCCTACCAAGCACTGGGCTGGGGCAGACAGGTTTGGTACTAACAGGCGGGCGGGCGGGCGGTAGGGCGCACGCGCGCGCGCCAAGATTTCTCTATGTTGAAATAAAATTGTTTCGTGCGTCCACTGGTTCGCATAGCAGCATACATCGTTTCTAGCGAGATATGTCTTCGCTAAACCTCGCTGCACACTGGCAGACCATGATCGCCTATTAGCTGTACAATTTGTTGCCAGAAGTTTGCTCCGAACCCTTTACGTTCGTGCGGTTAGGTGTCGGTGGGACAATCCCTTAAAGGCCGGATACTGGTGAACCAACGTTCAGGCGACTTTCGTATAATGGATGCGAACGGATATGCCGTTGGTGATATCATTTGCCAAGGTCCGTGCAGACAGGTCTCATAGGCACATATAGCTGCAGGTCGAGTAATAGAGGAGGATAGAATATCGAGTAAATGTTACGGGATCAAAGAACCACTTGTAAGGCGTTGTAAATCAATCGGTTTGATCGACCACTAGAATTCAGTAATACTACACTATACAAGTAGATAAAGCAACTTGAACGAGAGGGCGAAATAAAAAAATAGGAAATCTAAATAAACTAAATTAGTCGGCTTGCCGTGAAAGGAGCCATATCTTGAACATGTCGCGTATGCTAATCTCTGGTTGCCGAAGAAAAGAGGACATGATTCAAAAGAAAACACTCAAGGTGACAAACATTCACATGTTTGACTCAGTTCACGTAGAAAAATTGTTTAAATAAAACTTACCGTCTTTCGACCAGATTAGCGAAGGTCAAAATGCAAGATTCTTTCAAACTGATTCTGTTTAGCTCAGTTCAAAGATTGTACTTTTGCTGGAGTAGGTTCACTTGGTAAGAAAGCGTTCGATTCACGCTAACGCTAACTACACCCGTAGCCAAATTTCAGCTAGTTTCTTTCCTTTAGATTTCAGATAGAAAATTTCAGCAAATACACCTTTGCCTTTCTCGAGTAGTGTTCTCTGGTAGCAGATTAGTCCCGATAGCTGGGGGCTGTGGGGAGACCGCCTCAGCTATCCAGTGCTACCACACCATCCAATGTGAACCTTCGTGGACCTGACGACAAAACACACCTGAGACCGACGAAGGCAGGACTGAGCTTATACAGCTCAAGATGGCGCTTAAGAACCGCCGGCCGGTTGCCGCCCGCGGCAGCGGCGGCGACCACCTGGGTGAGGAGAACGCACCAATGATTGGCCGCTTAACAACCTGCTTAGCAGTCGCTCTCCCTGTCTGGTTAACGATGCCAGTAGCGGCCTGTGTTCGATGGCAAGGACGTGGCAGGTAGAGGCCGCAAGGGGGTTTTCGCATTCGATATTACAGCAGCGCTAGTAGCAGCGTAACGATGACGGGAGCTCCTATCAGAGGGAAACTGCAAGGCTATGGGCAAAATCGCCATTCGCTAAGTCGTGCCCCTTCTACCTCTTTTTTCATTTGCATTAAGTCGCACGTATTAAGTTGTTAGGAACGACAGCGCACTCGAAGGCAGTCTGCGTTGCTTTGTTTCATAGCACGAAATGGATTCGACAACGATCACGATGACGGTCGCTACGGCCATTGTTGCTGCTGTCGTTGCTGTGGTCCAAAACCACTTTGATCGCCGCTCAAGCCAGCGCACTCGCCCGCCTGCTCATGCGTCAACGGCTGATACAACAATACGAGACCGTGCATAGATCCCGCAGACAGCGAATGGAACACCGCCCTTTGGAACCTGCACTGTGCCTGTCGTAGTGTGTGATGCGTATTGCGGAGGCGTCAAATACTGCAACCGAACATGCTGGCACTGTCAGCTTACCCTCTAACATGGCAATAGGTAGATACTACTCATTGTCGAGATCAAAACGCGTAAAAACAAACACGAAATCGCTCGTAGACAATTATGGTATGCCGGTATGAGGCTGACGTTGTGCCGAGAGAGCGACAGAACGAAAACGTAAAATGTGCGTCGTTGTTGGAAAAAGTGAGATAAATCGAAAAAAAAGAGGTTAAAGGAATCAAATGCCGCTTTACAATCGCAGCAGAATTAGATCATGCTTCGCACATCAGCAGCAGCAGCAGACGGCATCCTCATCATCATCATCACAGTCAGCAGCGATGTGATCAAAATGGACCGTGGTCGGCCACTGTTTAGCAGCCCGTATAATATGAGTGCAAGCATGTGTTGTTTGTATTCAAATGCTACAGGAACTGCACTAATGGCGACTACGACAACAGCAACACCGTGAACAAAAATAACAACGACAACAACACCAAAAGGCACTGCTGCCCTAATCTTCCTTTTCATGGAAACACAGATCAGTTGTTCTATGCATTAGCCGTCGCTACGTCGGTTTATGGCAGCCATGGCACGAGCGGATGCCGCGGTGTTGCAGGGCTACAATGGCAATGCGGAGACAATTTACGTACGGCGGTTAACGCCGGAAGACCACCGAGCAAAACGGAACCTTCACGTCCGTGTTGCTGAGAGCGAGAGAGAAACATTGACAAAGAAGGCGAAGAGCGCAAAAAGAAAGTGGTCTCTGTTGAGACCTGTTTCTATGGCTGCCAGGCACTTTTAAGAGGTAAAAGGCGGTAAACCGCTAATGCGTGTTCTTTCTTGCAGACAGCCTTACTCCTTCTCGTGGCAGTCCTGCCAATCTAAGTAACTTCTCCTGCTTGCTCGACTCGTTGTGACCGCTTCTCGATGGGAAGACCACTCGGTGCTGATCGTCCATGACACCCAGAACGGCTTTGCTACGACCGCGAGCCTAGACACGCTACGTCTTGTGCGGCATGCGCAGCACGCCCACTAACATGCTCACTCCACAGTTGCACAAGGCACTTTACCATTTCTTCATAGAATCGACAGCTGTCATAAGAGCTATGAATAGACGTGTTTGAGTTCTGCTACAAGATCGGACGACGCTGGTGTCGGCTGTATCCCTATCTCCGTTAGAACTGCGAAGCGATCAAGGAACTATGGCAGGCACAAATGAAAATACGGGTAATAAGTTGGTTGGGTGAAGCTGTAAATTTGGCCTGCGATCCTTTCTACAACTTCAGCATTGTTAATGTAATTGCTAGCTCTAATGTGAGATCATGGATTGTAATTTGACGTTAGGCGGACCTTGCAGTATTATAAAGACGTCGTTCGCTCACTTGTAGGCCTTACTACACCTACAGCCATTGTTTGTAAAAACGAAGAGAAAGCATAAACGAGATGGAAAAGATCAGCGATGAACAAAAAGCTGCTGGCGGTGTTTTTTAACAATTTCTTGCTGCCTGCGATTCCATATCGTTGCCATGGAACATGGTATCGATGGAGAGAACCGTTATGCGTGTAGCCTCATTTGCGGAGGTTGTTTGCGCTGCGGCGGGCAACGAAGTAGATACCACATTGGTCAATGTTCAGACAGCGTGTTGGCCGGGTCTAGTCGTTCATCTCATCTCTTATCAAAATTTGCTTACGCGTCGAGGCGTAATAGTTTTATGTTGACTGTCACAGCCGTTAAACGTAACGGCTTATTGGACTTTTTCGTTCGTTGCTTCTTCGGCATGAGGTCAAGAAGAAATTGAACATGTGATTAATTATATTGGGTGTTGCTTCAACGAAGTATAAACATCGGGCCCTGCTAACACCTGTCGGATGTGGAGGTAACACGCACGTTTGCAACGAAAGTATACGTCATGAGCGGCATATTTACGATTCAAAAAGGCTGGGTAAAGTGATGTCAGAGATCATGCAAAACACTACTAAACGTGTACTCTCTAGTGGAGAGGTGTGCTTCTAAAATACCCGTTGTAAAAAACAATTTCTACGAATTTCTACGGAGGTTAATAAAACATTATGTATTTTAAGAGAATTTAACTTCTAATAAATTAATAATGTCCTTCATGTTTACGATTGGTTCTCGATATTAGAAGGCAAATAGATTCTATCAGTAAATAATAAATATACTACACCAAAATACCTTTTGTTTGTATGGTAGGTTCCGATGAAACGACAGGTATCAACAACATTATTGACTACCTTGTCGTTAACGATAAAAGGTTGTGGATAGATATGGGCTTCCTAGAAAAGTAACAACAACACGCCCTCTGGCGACCAATTTTTTAAACATAGTCGTTCATACAACCCGACTACAATTGATAAAGGAGATCATTACAACAGTTATCCTTGGTCATGAGCAGATATTCTATTGCATCGTCCACTAGTAGGACAGTAAGAATGCAAACGCAGATCACTGGCAAGCACTGATCGAATAAGGGATAATTATTATATTTACTTGGTCCTCATTCGTGATGTAGGAAATCGGACTGTGAAGAATATACTCTTAAGGAAACTTTTGCGATACCCGAATGCCAGCTTAATTTTGTTGACGATACTTCGTTGAGAATGAATAATCTAAATATAAACCACAAATTAATACTTTCAATTAGAAAGCTGCTATATTCTACAGAACTTGGTCTCCTGTCGGAAGCCTTATAGGTTAAACATTGACCAAACTAATATTTATCATATTGTGTCACAATGCATAAAATCCTTTGGTAATCTGTTTCGTATACGACAAATTTTCGTAACATCTTTCTTGTTGTCTGTGTCGCATTCTGACAAAGCCCATAAAAAACGATTTTTATAACATTTTTCCAATTTATCAAATGATAGAATGGATTGACTTAACGCGTCAACAACATGACAGTTACTCTCAGCTATGGGAACTTCGACAAGCTTTTGATTTAGTGACAACTTCATGAGCGTTGATGCGCGTAGGCCACCAGCGGCATACTACGCGAGCTTCACCAGCAGTTTCTCAGAGCAAAAGATTTACCACCAAGTATATTCTCGTTCAGCGTATATATTTACGAGCCTGTTGACGTCAAGGAATAGGAAATCATGTCTTGTTGGCCTTTTATAGCGTCCCATCAGCGCCCAATCAATCGTTAGCTAATTTATGCTATTTTTTGCAATACGGAAATTAATTTTTCCTCGTTAACAACACAAATCTAAAATGTAGTAACGTTTACCTTGAATACACTCTCTGATCGTACGTGAATTTCGAAGAATAACGCAGTTTTTACTTCGATAAAATAGCCGTTTACCAAATCTCCCATTCATATGAATCGCAATCCCTGAATCCGAATATTATTTTATAATAACGTAATATTACGCTACTTTCCGTCATCTAGGACTGAAGAACAGCAACCGATTATTTGGCATTGCTTATTATTATTATTGCTACTATTTTAAGCTTCGAGGCGGTCTTCACTAAAGTCAAACCAAAAATGCTTCCGAAACATAAATAACCTCGACTGTGCTCCTAAAATTATAAAATCCTAAATAAAACATATTCTTCGAGCCGAAATATCTAGCAATAGGGGCGCAAGGCACGTAAATTTCAAAATCTCTGCTGTTACTATATTTCATTTAAGGTCTTTTTAGAATTCGAAAAGAGTTTTAGATGCATGTCTGTCTTCAAAAAGATAAGAGGTAATTTTAAATAAAACTTTACTGCATTTAAAGATAATTTATAGGAACATCGATCCATTTACGCAAACAGCTGCAATGTGGGTTCTGAGATAATTTTATTAAAATTAGAGTTCTACCCGTATGAAGCTTGAATTTACAGCGGATAAAATGCATAATATTTTACCACCTCCTGTTTGATCAAACAACTTTTATTTATTTATTTGGCGGAACTTTAGACAGCGATATTTTGTATATTTTGACCAAAGGCTTGGTCGATCAAGCCATCGATTCAACATCGTCTTTTGCTCTGGAAGAAAGTGTGAAATTACAGCGCCTCTAGCGTACACGTAGAATCCTTCACTATCGGATCACGTATGATCCGCCATGACAGATCTTACATATATCTTCAGTCCCAGTTAAGTTTCTATGAGCCTTGATATTTGCACCGTTACTAAAATTTCACAATAAAAAGGAATATTTAAATCGGTATTGTATTATATAGAGAAACGTAGCTGTCTTTATCTACTAATCTCATTTTGTGTGTCTGTTGACTCGAAATTGCAGCATTGAAAGAGCTCGAAATATGATTTGAAACTTATTGCTTTGATGCATTTCCATCTTGGAGATGCTCCTCCGCCAGGATGCGCTGCATAGGGCACTGTATTATGAAAGATTTGCTCACTTTGCCTCTAGTTGCTTTTTATTCATCTGTTATCTGCATACTTACTTGGCCCTGTCTGTGCCTGCGTGTCTGTCATCGCTGAGATTGCGAGGTTGGGCTCTGACCTGATGAGTCATTCGATGCACGTCACTGGGGAATGCTATGAAACCTTCAAAAGTAGAAGAGCGACCTACTCGAAAAGCCGACGAGTGAAGTACTTCGAGTTCTTGCATTAGACTAGAGGCTATTCACGCTGTATTAGAAGTACTTATGGAGGAGAAGAATGCTGCCTTGGTTCTGCCACGCTTTTTGTCATGCAATAACTACTAAGATCCTGACGGCCCCCTTCATATGGTTTCTAAGAACTAAAATTAGATATTATAGCGGACAAGACTCTGATAAGGTGGAATTCCTATTTTCCCCAACGCCATCCACAATGTTACTTGCATCTTCCCCTTGCCGTTCTTCCTGTTCGTCGATCCGTCCCTCCGCCCGTGGGTTCATTCGCGCGTCAGCTCGCCAATAGTGAGCGCGAGTACCTAACCGTTCTGACGGTGCACCGCGACGACTGCAGCCATCAGCATGAGTCGATTTCGCAGGTTGTTCATATTGCATTGCGCATTTGCCATAACTCACGCCACTGTTCAGCGTCGTTGGTTGCACGACCTAGCAATGCCGCCCATCTTTTATGCTGACCTTCAGTCATCTTGCGTTAGGTTACTCCGGGCACGACTTGATCCTGCTACCAAAATCGCGCCATCAATGGACCTTGTTCTCAGCAACCCGTCGATATAATATGGCTGAATTGGGGTTCAAATGGTGATTAGCGCACTCTAAGGCCTCATCTCCCCTTCTATCTTAATTAGAACAGCCAATCGACTTCTTGAATATCTTCCAGGTTGTTGCACAGCGGAAACAACATTATTATCTATTAGAGGACTCCACAAGCAGCTCTGCTAGCATCAGGGTATCTCTAAAGGTTTAGTAGGATCTTACAGGGACCTCCGATGTTCGACTCCCGGTATCAGGCAACGTCCTGTTATGATACGCTCACCCGTATAGAAAGCATCTTGCACCGCTGACTCGGTTTTTGCCCTTTATCTTTTTTCACTAAAATACCACCGCAGTTCTCTGTCCCTATCGATATGAATTCACATGCATTTTTATGCACCTTCTTGTTTACGCATCAGTGATAAGCGTTGGTCTTTTTTTTTTTCGCTAATACAACCAAAAGTGTAGTTGAATATGTGAGGTCTTGCTCGGCTTCTTCTCCAAGTGCCGATCCTCAATACGTGCGCATGACGACAACATTACAAATTCAATACAGCGTACAAGCTCTCAGACAATAGGCTAGTACTTGGTTGGCAAACAGCAGCAAGGTAAAGCCTGCTTTTATGCTCAGACACTATCGGCATGAGTACTTTATTAGCCCAAAGATTTTTCTTCAATGTTGTTTGCTGAAAAAGATCCCTTATAATCTTTCTAATACGTATCGGGTTCTGTTGTTTCAGCCTCTTGTAAGTCGGATTGTGGCGTTGGATGCAAATGTTAAACTGCCGATTGGAAACGTTCTATTGTTAGGCGCCTACAAATACATCGCATTTGAAACTATCTTCAACGGTAGAGTACAGTAGACAGATTTGTTTTTCTTGGTAGCTTAACATGCTTTCTTCTCACAACAAGGATTTAAACATCCCTGCTTTTTATTCATAAAATTATAGTCCGGTAGGGTGCCCCCCGGAGCACACGATACATAGGGCCTAAACTTCATCATTGTCGAATGTTGATATTCAGCTCACAGGAAATTTCTGAAACCGGCTTTAGTAGCTGGCAACGAAAATTCTTTCAGGATTTCTTTGCTTTGGATGCAGTGAGAAAGAATGAGTGGAAAAAGACAAATCGGCTAACCACATATCGTCATTCGTTTGTTTGCCGTGCATGGATCCCACCCCCAAATCTTGCAGGAACCCGGATTTCCACTATACTGACAACACATGTAGATGCTCTAGATGCGGAGGTAATATTGATGAATATCATGCCTCCTCTCGCCCTCTGATACTAACTTCAGCGTCTGTAACATCTGGCAAATCCCTTAAGTTAGTTTTACACATTCAATACGATTCGTATGACCCATAGGTTGTAGTGTTAGATATGGTTCTATGTGGTCGTATTGTTGGCCTATATGTATAAGTTTCTGACTAAAATGAATAAACGAAATTTACATTACGAAATATTGACGTTCAGCAAGCGCTTGGTAGGTGGTATAGCCGCTATTAGTACTGAAATATCCTATCGTTGTTTTCTGCTCTCTCACTATTTTTGTGGTAAGTAACATGTTCGTAATACTTATTTCTTCAATCGACCAAGGACGATACATAACTTTTTTTTTTTTTATCTCAGTATATATGGTGATCATTTACGATTGATCACCATATATACTGAGTTGGGGATATACCAAACTGGTTTATCGGCAATAACAAAAAAGCTGATGGAAAGTTGTAAAAAATTAATAGAAGAACAAAATTCCAGTTGGCTAAACTTAATCGGTACACCTTCCTGCCAGACATAATAATTGTGCATACTTTTAACGCTTTGTTATTTGCTGATTTAATCTTATTACAAAAATGTGTGAGCTTCGTAATTTTAACAACACTTCTGTCAAAAACACTTATCGCCATTAGGATACCCTATGCGTTGCTTGACGTTCATGAAAATGCTATGTTTGCATGACTATGTATTTTCGTTTCCGATTGACCATAGGCGTTTGCTGTACGTGCTTGAAGTCTTGCACAACATCGCAGGGTCGTGCGTTCCAATTGGGAAGAGTTTGGCAGGTTATTTGTCGCAGCAGACATGCACTCGCTACTCCTGAAGTCGTTTCTAGAACAAAGCAGCAAACTTGTCATGACAAACAACAGTGCAAGCGTTTTGGAAGATCGACTATAAGGAATTTTTTTTTCGCGGACTGATCCCCCCATCAAAACTAAAAACTTTTTTCCTCGAAATCGACAGTATACCTCTAAAATTCGTCAAAAGGCCATTTTTAATACAATACGGTTTCGCTGTAGAAATTAAGAGCTGTTTCAAAGAGGGGGTTATCGATTGTCACTTGAATAGTCCAAATGAGCTTGAACACTTAGAATTTATGAGATTTTTTGCAGATCTTGAATTTTTGACCGTTTCGAGTCTTTAGCCTTCTCATAGTTAACGTTTATTAAAAGACACATGGAAAACATAGCTTTTCTGGTTGGTGGTCAGAAGCCGTCAAAAGTATCAGTTTTCGGGAACATTTATTTTTTTTTTGGAAACACGTAATTTAAACTCTCTACCCTGCGTAAAAAAATTATAGTATGTCATACGCTAGCATTTTCTTGTTATATCAATAAAATCATGGGTAGGTAAACATCACATAAATCCAGTGAGTTCACTGTTAATGCAGCACCTAGTCATAGATAGTAGACACTGCGTCCAACAGGCAAGCGTTTGATATAATTAGACTATCGTAAATAGCTTGCGAAGTCTATATTCTGTTACTCAAGTTAAGTATTTTATATTTAAACGAGTGAAGTTTTTATTTTAAACGAGCATATATATGTATGCTCGTTTAAAATAGAAACTAAATATATATGTATATATGCGCATTTAAACGTAAATGTTGCAACTTTTCTTTATACTTTTGTAAAAATACACGAACCTAACTTTTGTGACCCACTATATAGGGTTTTAACATGATGTACAAGCCCATGCCTCTGAGGTTAAACATTTTTTCCATTAGTCTGAAGATAATGCCATATGAAATGCTACTAGATTCTTTGCTCAAGACAGAAATACGGACCCAAGAAAGATCTAAGCATTACTAAACAGAACGTTTGAATCTTGCTTCCCTTTTTTGCCAGTAAATACTACCAGAAGCAGCTATAGCCTCGACCCCCCACAATGTCGTTACCCTTGTATCATCCAGTGGTGGTGTGTCATGTTGAACAATTGAGTTATTCGTTTACGAAACTTACCGTTTCTTTTCGTAGGTGATCGATGAGATAGCCGCATTAAGATAGTCGCTTAAAAGAGAAGCTTACATTAACTCTGCCCACTATACTTTGAACAAGTACTTCGAAATCAGTCGATGATATCCACTTCATTCATGGAACGAAATTTTAATTTGGAATTTAACAGACTCTTTTAACTAGGTTGCTTGTCTGTTACACATGTCGCTGGATAGATAATAATCTATCGTTCTATGACCAAATTTCTAAAAACAGACGAATTCTAAACATTACCTTATGTAAAATGGCATCGACGACATGGAAATGTGCGTGAACCAATAAAATTTTCTATTTAACTACCCCAATAATATTTACAAAGGTATACTGTAATCCAAAGTGTCGGCGGGTACTACTAGTCGCGTAGCGGATATCGTTCACAAGCACTCGACAGGATCTTCGACGGAATCGCTTCCGGTGCCCATAAATTAACTATTTGTCATTAGCGATTCTCCAGCCAATTGAGCTATTTACACGTTTTTTTTTTTTTTTTTGTTCTGATTTGTTCACTTTTTTGTGAGACCAAATGCATACGAGCTATAAACACACGGACATATACACTCGAATTCAAAAAAACTTTAACTTTCGAAGGATCAAGCCTTTAATCAACAACATTTTAGTATGTTAGCTTAGTTCTATGTTTAATCGTTATGAAGGCCATGCGCCGTATACGCACAAGATCTGTGCAATTCTAGGCTGGCAAACTTTATGGCACTAGCGAAATCGTTGTGGCAGCTAAGCCTTAAAATGCTAGGCAGCGTACTTTCCTTCGAACGACAACTTTCAGTGTTTCTACGGAAAGATCACCTCGGCATCTGGTCTCGTGTTCAAGCTTTTTTTTTTTAATAAATTGTTTGCACTATGAGAGACTTAACCTGAAAGATGGTGAGATTTGTCAGAAATTTCTCGTTGTATGGTAAATACAAAGAATGTTTTTCGTGTCTGCTTTCATCTACATGTTAACAAATAACATGATATTGAATATTTGTCGCCTATAGTGGTAAATGGAAAATATAATAGAAGGAGGCTCAATAACTTTCAAAGCATCTAAGTTTATTCAGACAGCCACTAAGAAATTCCTCTAAAAAAGCCTCTAACAAATTCCACCTGAGAAATACCAGGGAAACTTGTTAGTTCTGACACTGTCAAAAATATCCTCGGAATGTTCCACATAATCCTCTACTAGGGGAGGGAACTTAACTTTTTGTAGGTTTTAGCAGAATTATTATGTGCTATCCTGGATCCCTATCAATTATCTAACGTCAACAAAACGAACACCTTTCCGTCAAAAACGTTTAGGAACATTGTTGCTTGAAAAGAAGAGAACACGGCTTACATTTCCTGTAACTCTCTGCGGATCACTTATACGTAAAAAAAATCCGCATTTGTATTGTGGATAAAAAGTTATAATAATCTTTGCAACTCTGCTGTTTGATTTTAATGGTAAGCTATCCTACATCCTCTTTCAGATTCACTATCCCGATTTCATATTTTCATGTACGAGCCAAGACTCCACAAATATTCTCCTGGTTCTGTATGTTCACTTAATATTAATTTATCAGAGTCCAAATAGCATCAGGAGTTGACCTTCGATCACATATTGTATGTATTTATATGTAAGCATCGACTGCATTCGTATTCTATTTTCCGTCTGATGGCTGCTTTACATTTTGAAATCCTCCTTGTTTTTTATAAAGACCTTTATTAAGGGTCGGCTGTCTTGAAATCTTCGCGTGTGTTTAACTTTTTAAGAGTTAAACATCTGTGGAGCTATAAACGCTTTATTGGAAATAACAAAGCAACGGATTGCGCCACATCTGTAACGCTGGCTGCTCCACATTAGATTTAGGTATTGTCTTATCCCATAATTGTACAGGTAAGACAGATTTGATAAAATTGGAAAATTGTGACATAAATCTAATTTTATCATGTTAGTCATAGACTGGCTGCGCTTTCAAAGTTTAACTTCATGATAATATGGATTCCGTAAGTGAATGGAATGATACAGTCAAATATATTTGTAAACCATAAGTTTGGACAGTAGTAGTAAATGTAACATTATATGAGTCGATATTAGGGATAAAGTTCGTAGCTATGGCATCTAAGAGTTTACAAAATCTATACCATATGACTGATCAAATACTAATAATTACGCAGACCTAATTGTAACAGTTACATAACCTGCATTGTAATGAATCATAGCAGACTTAATAAAGATACGTTTCCATTTTTTTGCTTAAAACCAGTCTTTATCTAAGTATGTCACTCTTACCATAGCGCTTTCTCCTCGCGCTAAATCTAAGTGCAAAAATGATTAAAACCGTTGAAGCCATGTTCCAAGATGGTGCATGTTTACATTCAAACTTTTATTCGCTTTAGATCATAGAACAGGATTCAATATTTTACTTAAAAGCTGCATTTAAGCAGTCGAGAAGCTCTACTAATCGACTTAGAGCACTAATAAATTGTGTTCTGCACAGTAATTCTAGATTAGAACTGAAAAATAGAAACACCTCAACTTTTCTTCTTAAGTTAACCTTCATGTTGAAATACTTTGATGAGAGCTTACGAACGGATTCAAATTTACGTTCTGAAATTATATTTTGTTTATGTCTGGGATTGTTATGTAGTCCGCAGGACATTCACAGGACAATACAGAACAATAACCTTTTAAGCACAACGTGAGAAAGATTCACTTCTGACACAGGATACATCTCGCTATTAAAATTTCTGTTGGGTGTCATACACATCTATTACCGACTCACTGTCGTAGGTGTCCATTACAGACATACATATATATATAGGTCGTGTTTGGAAATACTGATATCATTATTAGCACGCAGTAAGGTTATTAGTTCTATAACGTAGAGAGAGAGAGAGAGAGAGAGAGAGAGAAGCTACCCTTAGAGCAAACATAATAGATGACTATTTGGTTCTAGATTATTTATCCAGTATTCAACTTTTATGCTGCCTCTCTTTCAGACCCTAAAGTTGACGTCGATACAAATCACGCAGTTTTAGAAAGGCATCATTGTCTGATCTTGAAATGAAATGGCAAGTCAGCAGAGTGATATCAGATGGCTATCAAAACGCGGGATTCTACGCTGTATAGACACGAGGTATTATAACCAGTCGCCATTTGTCCCTCTTGATGGCCGCTAATGCTACCGCACACGTCCGATAGGAGCGCCGAAGAGGTCGTACGTATTTACCAAGGGTGGATCCAATCGTAAGCAGCGGCGGGTAGCTCTTTTCCACGCATTGCACTGACCTTTTGGCTACCGGGTGGTCGGCTCTAGGAGATGCGAAACTAAAGGCAATGTCCCTGCCATACCAACCTCGAAAACGTGTAATCACTGGAAGATGTTGGGTGTTGGAGGGGCATGACCCGTAGATTTGTGTCGCACAGGGATAGTTTGCACTCGGGTGAGCTCTGGCAAAGGCACGTGCCACGCTGTCATCATGGACTCCTCATGGAGGTCTTTGATGTAATATCCAACGAAAGATCGTTCTGAAAAGTACCGTCTCCGGCTGTATTGCAACTACCTAGCTGATGAACAAGCACCGGTTGCGCTTGCTGTTGCTTGCACGATTATAAACAGTATATTTATTGGCCCACTGGTCGCTCTAGATTCGCGCTGGGCACGATTTGCCGAAGTTAATCAGAAATACCCAGTAATATTTGGGTACTAGGGCAACCTTCGTCGTCATGACACGAAGATCCACACGTAGACGTAGAAAGTGCTTTCGTTGTACAAGTAGTATTTCGTATTTCATTTAACTATGTACCCAGCATAGAAATGGTGTTTTGCATTGGATTTCTATGAGCGGCCAAACATAAATGGCATGATAGGTAATGGCTATCATAAGTTATGCTCCAATACAGTTTAACGGTGACGACGCGGAAGGGAGCGACATGTGTCGGTCAAAAGTGAATTTTCTCATTACTATTAAGGAAAGAAGATCGATTTTCTAGCTACTTTTTATTTATTTCTTAAATTTACTTAAACATATTCAGATAAGCAGAGAAAACTCAATTTTTTGTGCTTGAGTAGGAAGACACAAATCGGGGAAACTACTCACCGTTCGAGCTACTTACGCGCGACCGGATCGAATTATCTACACACGTTCAAGGAATACGCTTAGCCAAAAAACCTGCCCACTCTAACACATGACCATGTGCCGCCATCTGTGGCGGGCGAGTGAATGAATCTCGTGAACACAGAATCGAGTCTGAAAGTCACATGCATCCGATTTTTCGACCCGCGATGCCTGACTAGCTTTTTCTCATTAATATGCTCTCTTGAGCTATCCTGTGTATTCATAGCGGTTTTGGGGGAGCCCAGTAAACTAGATCTAGTGACAGCAGAACGAAAGTTTCCCTTTGCATTGAGAAAATGATAGCTCCCAGTCTAAGAGCAAGAGACCACCCAGTGACAACCCCATTCCTAGATAAACCCCTGAAGTACTCGCTGAGGGAAAGCCGAGTCTCAGCACTGAAAATGAATGTATGCCATAGTTGAGCACCTTCCAAATGTCAAATATATCGAGTGACGAAAGCAACATTGCAACACCTCAGCCTCATGAGTATCCAGCTTTTTGGTAAATGGAATTCAGCTTTATGAAATTTTCTTATTTACGAGACGATGTTTCTTAGTGCTATCTATATATTTTGGCGGTGTAGTGGAAAATATTTTGTAGCTTAACATTACTTTTGTTTTATTCAACACCTTTCGGAAATTTTTTTCACCTGGCTTGGCTGTGGAACAGCTATACTCAAGGTTAGGATTAACGTATAGAATTTTTATAGCTAAAACGGCACAGATCAATTTTTTTTTAGTTTTAGTAACGAGTACTCGGTCTGGAGTAGTTTATATCATAGAGAATTACCTGATTCTTTTTAGTAAAGAATAACGGCGCTGCCTCAAATGATCCCAGATTAAATATATGATCAACATAACAAAGTCACTGTAAGTTATTTAAGTTAATTTGGTCAGCCGATACCAAAAATAATACGTTTTGCCATTTTTTACTATTATAATTATGCAAACTCGCAAAAATTTTCCGCGTAATGATCAAACTTTCATCTGAAATATTTCATTTTTATTCAAAATAGTCTCACTCAGGTGATCATTATCTTCTTAAATCACGAATCATTATTAAAATACGTAAGTGCTTGCGCAGACTCGCTAATGGATACCTCTATTTTATTTTTCTTTTGTCATCGCATAACAAAATCAACTTCTCATAATGATATAGGCCTGATATTTGCCCATGCAGGTTATGTTCATCCCTCATTTCATTACAGTCGAACCTCCCTTATACCTTTAAGCAAAGCACCCACTGTAGCTATTAAACAGTACATATTAAGTTTGGAAGTTACATTTCTTATGCTACAGCGCCGGCAGTGGCGCATTTTTCTATCGTCTGCTTACCCACTCACAACAAATGCTAATTTACCGCTTTGTTTGACGCTCTATAATTATACATGAACTCTGTGTTAACTCTGATTTTACAATACCTAGACGTTATACTTGTTGCCATTCGAATCCCTTATGCCAAACGTTGATCGCTTGGCCACTGTAGTTCCCGATTCATAAATCTGACAAAAAAAACTAATAAATTGTTGCCGTTTTCCCAACGACAATCTACCACCAATACCTTTACAATTGTTAGCAGACGTCACTATCAGAGAATTTTAGTTCGCGACTGACTTTTGGAAAATAACAGCGATGAGTCCTTGCGCCTTATTATTCTTTTACTAAGAGTCGATTATGATTCGAAAATGATGACGGTTCGACGAATCAGGGTCTAAAGTAGACTTCTATTGGGTGCTTAGGCTGTCAATCATCAAACGTTATTATGACAGTCATCCAAAGAGAACAACAGAATCCTTAGACATTTCCGCATAAAAATACTCTGGCTGACTTATCGGTTGCATTCAATCTGCTATCATTTCCTCTATTTACTACCTAACATACTGGTACTAAATAATAGTAACGATCAAAATGTATATTGTTTACTGAAATAAACAATACATTATTACTTTAGAGAAACTCACTATTTACTACTAGACGCATCTCTGTTTTGTTTTCTTAGGGCAACGAACGTTTCCTAAACGAAGTGCGGTGTGGTATTTTTAATTTACGAGCTAATAAAGTATTTATTATGTAGAAGTCTTTGGCAGACACACTTTCTTTAAAGTGGGTCTATTGCTTTCCAGTGGAGCATCATTCCTATCTTAGTTTTCAATTCAAGTTGACTGTTACCCTCAGACATTGCCGACGCGGAACAAGAATTAACAGTTAGTCGGTGCTATTTTACTCGTCCTAAGTGAATGAATTCGGGTATTAAGCAAGATCCTTAACCAGATGGAAACCGAAGATCACAGTTCTTGTGAAAAAATTATATTAATAAATATTATAATGAAAAAAAAAGAAACATCCGACTAGCTGTTAACGGGTCATTATGACCAGTAACAAGGAGCGACGCTTGAAAGGCAGATGCATCTTGCAGTCATACGATTGTCATCTGTCTTGCATGATCACTTAGAAATAAAGTAGTCTAGGCTTTTCTTTTTGCCCTAGATAAAGGTGTTCGAATAGCTTTGAATGAATGTGTATAGGAATGATTGGCCGATCGTAGTTCTGTGCTAAAAAAGCTCAACGTAAAAAAGTAAAGTAATGAATTACGGTTTTTGGACAATGGAACATCATTTTTGCAAAATTTCTGAAGTATTTATTCCCGACTATAAATCAAACTAAGTCCCTACTATCTTGCGCTTAATAGGTCAGTGTCCCTAATATCTATTAACAGAAAACCCTCATTTCCGATTTAAGAAATTTTACACCATATTTCTTGCAAGTTTTGTAGTTTATTAGAGTATTATGTGAATGTACTGTTATACTAAATTTCAGTTTCAGCAGAATTAGATACATAAAACTAAGACAGCTCTAATGATAACGCCGGTAATATAATAATGGCTCCAATATGAAATTTCACATCGCTGCTAAATTTGTATGTTCTTTATGCCTAGATCCATTCTGACACATCGATTAAAGATAGATGCAATATAATCAAGCTAATACACTTTATTCATTTACACATGATCTAGTGTGTACCATTCTATATGTATTACCTAACAGCATCTGCTATTGATTCCGACGTAACTGGGCAAGTATTTACGATGTTTGTATCGTTCTTTTGATATTTCAGGTTGACTAAAAGTGTTCAACTCGCTTCACACAAGGATAAATGGACAAATTTTAAAAATAAAAGTCAAAATTATTACTAAAACCATTTGCGACTGTTTCTTAAGCTGCTTGACAAGCTACGGTACTTTTCTAAGTTAGAGCTTACTGCTTAAACACAAATAACAGCATCAAGTCTTTGCATTATTTGATGAGTAAGCAAATGCAATGCGCGCCCATACATTTTATTTGCAGATGTACTTTCCTTACTGCCCATATATTTATTAGTGTTCTTTATTACGACTTACTACTGTATAGCTGCGCACAAAGCATACCGTTATTAATTAAGCACATTTGAGTGTTCCTAAAGTAGAATTCCTAATTGCTTTACACAACAATAGTCGTTTGATGCGTTTTTATCAGTCTGCTCTAAGAGCAATTCCCAAGTGATTTGTAACTGGTCAACATTGTGCTACGCAAATGCTTAGCTTGCCACTAAATAACGTAGCGCTGAAAGATATAATCGGCGTTCAAAGTAATAGATATTATGCAAACGGGAGCTTATTCAAATCGTGCAAATATGGCAAAAATAAAAACCACATTCTATTTCGCATTTGACCCAATGTTTGTTGAATTATTAACCTCATCCATGAAAAAACCAGGCATATGAACATTTTTAATTAAATATCCCACTATACAGTGTTGCAGGTGCTTCGGAAACACTAAGATTTCATAAGTAAAATGGCATTATATAGGGATCGAAACCACCGGAAGAATCTTGTAAGATCCTACGTAATATTTCCGTCAGTTTCTGCTATACTTGCTTGTATATAATCTATAAATACCTGCAGTCGTTTGCTATCCTTCGTGCTGACTAACGAATGTCCTCGTAGCGCTGGTTGACTTAATTTATATATAATTTATAATAATAACTGATATTCAAATGTTCAAAAGATGGCGACAGGTCTATCGGTTTCCGGGAAATGTGGCAAACTTTTAAGTTTCGAGTACTTTCCTTCGAAGTCAGAACCTTTTTTTTATTATAATCGAATCTCCGCATATACAGCTAACTATAGTTAAAATATCATGGAATACACCTGCTAGCAGACTCATCGTAGTCTTCGCAACCCACTAATTAAATACGTACCCCGCACTCCTTGTATTCAACATTGCTGATTACGTCTGTCGAACTTTGGTCGGTTGCTGGGTGTACTTAGCTAATCTTAATCTAATGTATGCTTAGTGGATTATATCGGTCCACCGGTAAGGTTGATGTCCCCAAGCGCCAGATACTACTGACAAGTAAGAAGTCATGTCAGTGGAATAAAGTATTATGCCTATTCCTTTCAACTTTGTGTTTTAGTTGTTCATAATTGCGTCAGTTGTCCTAGCACCATAATATAGATCTACGAACTTACGTAAGCATCACTTGGCGAGTATAAATAACCTAATAATGAGAATAGCTATTATAAATCGTACAAATGCACAATCTCTCATTGGCCGACGCGTATTGCTTAATACATTTCCGAAAGCGAAAAAAACGTATTGACATATAATGAACAGGAGTCATGTTGACCTCATTTATCAAGCTCCTTAGCGTTGCTGCATGCTGCATCATCTCAACCATGCGTTTTCAAGCTTTCTCATATTAAGGCAGCCATTCTTAACGTCGAAGCTAAACGTATCTTATAGTTTCAATATGAAAACAATAAGTATTATTAGATAGATGCCTATATTTTGTTATTATTATCATATTCAGCAGAAGCATGACTGATTTAGCATACTCAAATTCGATTAAATTTTTATTATCGGGATGTGGTCCACATATGCAGAAAACAGAAACGTGAAGAAAGGGTATTCACATATATACATAACAACATTCAAATACTTCTACGATGTCGTTTATAGACAAATTAGCGCCACTCATCGAACCAGATGCAAAGCAACGATCGGCATACAGGGTTGCGCTAGCTAATGCCCACTAATATTTTTTGTATTTCATGAATTCATCACAACGCTATCCAGTAAACTACCGATACTCTCCTTAGCACAGATAATTACATAAATTCTGCCAGAAAATCATTCGTTTGACTAGAATTTATGCCAGGTTTTTTCGGCCACGCCTTGAATGTACATAGGTTAGCAGCTCCAACAGCTTGATTAAGTGCATTCCGAACACCATAATCCGTTTAGCAATCTTTTACGGAGTTGTTTTCTTAGGATATTTCCTAGTCCCTTAAAAAGCAGAAATAATCAACGGCGGATATCTACTAGCCACTAGAAGGACGTATTTCGTAACTGCTTAACAAAGGAATACCGAACTATTTATACAACTCAAGCATCGCCGACCAGATGGTCGATACTTCTTTTGCGCCTTAATATATCATTACATGGAATGATTTTGCGCTGTCCCGCACTTTAACTGGATAAACGACAACACTTCCAGTAGACGCTCGACTTAGAGCATTGTTGTGAAGAGCATCATAAAGCACTGACAAACCATAACCCTACTCAATAGACCCTACTACTGCTAGTCATTTAGCTCATATCGGAGTACTATGAAAACTGCAAAGAACGTCATCGTTCACACAAAATCGTCCACGGAAGTTGAGAAGAGCATGCCTGAAACAAAAACCTTCGTTAAGGAGTCATGGACAAAAATCCGCATCTTGCTTAAGTGCTTCAATGTGAAACGCTTCATGGAAACGACAGCAAGATAGGGTTGTGTTTACCATTGGACAACCTTTTTTTACCGCTGGCTTTCTGGCTATTAAGTGTAATCGAACTAGCATCTGCAATTAGGCATGCTCCATTTCAATAGCTTTGAGACGTTCGACTAAAGTCTCATTAAATGTTGTAAAAAAACATCTATCTAACACCAGGGTGTTTGGGATTTTCTCTGCTACCTAGCTTTGGAAGCAAATACTTGTTGAATAACAACTTGTGGTAAAGAAGCCACCATATTTGCTAAAAGCGGACCAAAAACAGTGTCGGCGCAATGCTTACACCAACCGTTCAGAACTAAACAACAGAAAATGGAAGATAGCAATATATAACCACTGATAAAACGTATACTCTTTACCACACATCTTAAGGCGAACAACGTCGACAGAGCGAACCAAGGAAGTGGGTCGCAAGCAATTAATTTGAACCACATGGGAGATACTTAAAAAGAAAAAAAGGTGGATTTTGCTGTCACTCTCGCTAACCACCGAAAAGGTTTTGCCGCCCAAAACAGGATCAACGTGAGCTACAACAAATTGGCTTCTTTTTCGTTCTAAACCAGTGTTATTTAACCTAGTCCATTTTTAATGGTCTAGATTCCGTGTATGATGAAACTCGCACGTATTTTACTATACTTGTATGACATTGTGTTTATAGGTTTTACATTTAACATAATATTGGCAATAGTGAGCGGAACACTACTCGAAACAAAAGCAACACTTAAACGTTGACTTTTCCATTTATATTTCAATGAATGATGCATTAGATCATTCGAGATTATATATCATTGCGTTACGACCTTGATGCTGTAAAATATGTTTCGTCTGTTGGAATGTACTATGCGTAAAATGTGCAATCCCTCCTACATACGTAGTTAATATCCTTTATAATCAGGTTTATTAAGTTCATCGCTCTTCAGTCCCCGTCAAGTTTCATGATAAGTGAAAAGCCTAACCATCCGCCTATCCAAAAGTGATACCAAATACTGAGAAATTTATTGAACCGCTAGATTAGTTGTGTGACTCGAGTGCGCTTGATAGCGAACTCACGATCTCGAAATAGTCTTACAAAGAATTTATCGCGGGGATTAACTTTGTCATTCAGTAAATAAAACAAGCTACAAGAGGACGTTCTTACAATTCTTCCGTCTTAGCCGAAATTCGGAATATTGTTCGAGAAACATCCCAATAGCAGAACTGCGTACTTTCTCTAGCCGCTAACTTGATTGCGAAATTAGCCTACCTTTAAGATTTTGATCCTCTTTAAAAGGCTTTCAATACCTTCAAATACATTTCAATTATACATTTATCCTATTTGTTAAGCGCGGTATGCCCGAAAGTTCTGAAAGGCCCCGAATTTGGAGAACGTGATATTTTGTAAATAAAATGCTATTTGAATTAATTTTTTAAATGAAATGAAGACTTTCCCAAAATGTTTAACCCAAAAACAATTTATTCTCATAAATACGCATGTTATTGACGTCCATAACAATACAGGTTATTTAGCCTCAAATGATCTCAGTTAGGCCGAAGTAAAGTGATGAATATGGTCGTAGTGTTTACATTATACTTACAATTTTTTTATATGTCACAATAATATCGTCTGCAGTCTGCTATAGATTCCAACAGCTGCTGTTTCTCAGACTTCAGTTTGTCCACTTGTTTCTGCGGGGCAATAATTCACACTTCTCGAAACATCCTAATGTTAATGTTCGTCTTTCATCTAATCAGATTGCTACTTCCGATAGTTTCCACTTGTAACGGCAACAAAATCAATTTTAGCCATTTTTTTTTTTCTAGTTTTACTAAATGTCTCATCAACGTTTCGTAACGCACCTGACTTAGCTTTACATACATAAATTATTCACTATTTCTATATGCATAAAATATGTGTATCACCTCCATCGTATTTTAACAGGCTAGACCTCTGAAACGGATCATTTCAGATAGGGACCACTTGTTTTGAAAAATTTAAATTATTGGCTATATAACAATGCGGAACAGGTGTTCGACCCACTTCATCTTGAGAAAACTTGATTTTTTAATTTTTAATAATCTTTTCAACACAGATAGCTCTGTTAAAACTTGTATTATGTCTGTACAGTTTGAGTCAATTACTGGCAAACTCTTCGTAGCTTTATTCACTTAAAGTTCGTTAAGAATTATCATATTTTTCTGCACCTGTGTATCTCCTTTGCTTAATTCTTCCAATGCTGCTTAGTCCTCGTAACGGGCTTGTTTTCCTCCGCTATTCCCTCCACTGTCTCCAGCTCGTCGTTTAGCCAGAATCTGGTTGATCTGCTGCAATTCCCGATCTAATTTCATCTTATCCTGTTAAAACAAAAATGTAATTATTTAGCAGTCTGTCCCACGCACTAATAGTCATACAAAGTAATTGATCTCTATACCACTTATTTTTTTGGAGAGGTTAGTCACACCAGCGTCGTTCATTAATAGTTCGAACTCATCATAAAGTGTGCCAGCGAACATGTGGATGCCAACTGAATCAGATACAAACGCTGTTATACTACCAACATGACTTACTTAAGGGACTTACATCGTACTCGGGTTATCAAAATATAGAGTTCAACAGTCGGCAGGTACAATATCAGTGCTACAAGCTTCTACGATAGCACTTGAATTCGGTAGTAGCTTCATAGACAGGCTTAAAATGCCATACCCGCTGTTTTAAGTAAAGGAAAATAGTTATATTGGCGCGTTTAACAGCGTACAACTTAGTAAACTGGCAATAACGACAGTTTTAAGAAAAAAAAGAAACCAATATTTGAAAATTTTATTAATTTTAAATCAAAACAATTTTTTTCATTTTTTGAGTTTTCGGGCAAGAGTGCTGATGAAACAAACGTGATAGTAGTTGGATATCCAGTTCTCCATCTCTGCAGTATAAAGTCAGTAAAACTGTGCGTTCTTACCTTCTTCTGTCCTTGTATCTGTTGGCCTTGAGGACCAGCAGCACCTTTCGTCCTGCGTCCTTCAGCCATTTTAACGCCGTATTGAAACGCAGCTTTAGGAAGAGCTTCTTTGCGGTCCATGTAAGCCGCGTATTCTTCTTGTGACTCGAAGTCCCATCTGAAGAACACGGCCAAACAGGAAGCCTGTATATGTAGTTACAACCTTTTCGTCTACATTTTCAACTTGGTCATTAGCAAGACTCAGAAATAAATATATCTAGTGAATGAAGCTTATGCATACATCGTATGCCTGGTACACCAAACGGTTGTATTTTAATTTATCTGATTCAAGTTACTTACGTAAATAAAGTTGTAAGTTGCTAATTATTTCAATTTCAATTTTGCTAATGATAATCGCACTAAGGTAGAGAAGAAACAATTCCAAACGCGCAACTTGAGGAATCATCGAGAGCGCAAAGAAGTCTAAGACATGCAAATCTTACCTGTTTAGGGGACCTTTTCGCTTCCCGTTGTCCATTTTACTCAAGTCCTCTTCTTCGTCTGAATCCGCGACAGCGTCATCGTTCTCAGGCATGCCGGGATAGCATTCGCTATAATAATCCTCTATAATTCGAGATAGAACATCATGTAATACCAATAATGCATTGATAATCATTCTGGTCAAACGAAATCGCGCCAAGAGCTAAATTGAAAAAAACCAAATACCCTTTACTAAAGATCATTAAAGATCAGCTGGGGATTAAACTAAGGTTTCATCGTTTTGAAAATAACACCAGTCACCGAGGCTACCGATAATAATAATAAATGTAATGATTTTCATAATTGTATAAAAATTACTGTTATTACTATTAACCTTCAGTTATCTCAACACCCTCGGCGCGCTAACTTAAGCAGTTGAATCTATGATATGTTAATGGCCATGCTATAGAACCTAGCCACATGTACTCTCTATTTGCTTTGCTTTTACTGAATTTAAAACAGGTTCAGCCAGATATTATGTTTATGTAACCGTCTTTGGTTGACCTACCTTGTTGTGTAAGTCTCGCCAGCTTGTCTTTAAACCGACCACCGGATTCTTTACTGTCTTTGTTTGCATCACTCGCCTGCTGTTGAGTAGCTTTGAGAGCAGTTCTCAAAAGAACGTCTGATTGCGATGACTCGAACGTTTTCTCCGTAACGAGGTCATCTGTCGAAGATGTAAAATAGCGGGAGGCTGCCGGCCGTTTGCCGTTCTTTTCACCTCGATCTGCGCGTTCACCGCGATGATCCCTGTATGGATAAAGCAGAAGAACACAACGACATTTTTATAATAATTATAATAAGATTAAATTTAACACATTTATTATAAAAAATCTTGTAATTATTCCAGAGAATTCTTTGAGACATTAGCACTGTAGAATAACAGCTAAAATTTTAATTACCTGAGTCTATCTCGGTCATCCTTTTGATCCATAGGCGAGGTTTCTCGACTTGGGGAAGCTCGACGGTTTTTCCTTGTCGCGCCACCTGACTCTCGTTGTGGATGGTATTCACCTACATCATCGAAGATGCTAACATTGTCCCGAGCTACACTTGGATTTCGTGCCCCTTCACCTTCCTTCGCTTTTGGATCGGTGCTGTCCCCGGTTCCCTTATCGACTCCACCACGTTTCTTGCTTTTACGAATACTTAGGCCGGACCTGAAAACCAGTGCAGAATCAGTTTGTCTATAAGATTTCTATTTTAATGAAATGACCATTGAAAAATGATCTACTATGCTGTGCTATGCTCTAGCGATCTGAGACTCGCCACATTAAAATTACTTGCGTATTAAAAATGAATTTCAAAATCGTAGAATTAATTCGAGATAGACTATTTTACTGCTCCAAATTGTCGTCATCGAAGGAAATAATGGTTAAAGTGAGCGGTACTACTGAGTAACGTTACACCTACCTGAGGTATCCTAAAATTTGGGTAAGCTTGTTGATAACAATGTCATTTGTAGTGAGGGTAGCGGATGCAAGGGCCATTTGTGGGCAGTCTTGCTTACTGCGAATTAGTGCAGTCGGAATATCGCCTTCCGCCTGAGGAAATATACAATTAAAATGATAAGTTATAAAACAATGCGAATAACACAGCTTTGAACGGAACAAAAATATGGTCCTGCTTTTCCTTAGTATCGAAGTGCGCACTCATGGAGATTAGACGTGCCTATCTTTATACAGAAAGAAAGCAATTTTCGGGGGAGATTCGTATAATCTTGAAAATAATGTACCTCATCCAATTCAATGACGTATGCCATTCGGTGGGGAAGGAATAATTCGTTACGTTCGACCCTCGACGATTTTTGGGAAAATAGTAGCCGGTTGATATTCTTTGCTGAAATGTATCACACAAATACGTTACTCGTCGCTCTAAGCCAATTTAGATTATGCGAATTGAAGAACCTAATCGTATATTTGTTACCCTTGGCCTCTTGCACATAGTTTCATAGAACCAGCTATTGCATTTGGTCTGAGCGTCTTTGAAAATAATAGCTCAGTAAACAGTTTTATCAAAGCTACCCTCTTTTGCAATGAAAACAGCTTGAAAGACAGAATTCAATTTATGTGTGAACGTGCATGATTAACTTGTCTACTATACGATGTATTTAAGAACTGCTGCACCTTAGAAGACTAGTTTGTTTATTAATACAGCTTACCCATGGCAGTCCTAAACATCAGTTTAGTCTGCTCCTCAACTTCCTCTTTAGCTCGTTTATCCTGCTTTTGTTTCTCTTCTTGCTTTGCCCGAAGCGCCTCCTCAAATTCATTTTCCTATACATTAAAAACAAAAACAAGTCACTATGTACATTATACTTATTACTCGGTTTAGGACACTACTCCAGGCTACCGTATAGTGTAGAATACGTTTTTAACTATAACCTCTACCACTCGGCCCTTTGAAGATAATTACGATACACGTAACAATAGCAAATTGTTTAGTTGGTTAGTACGTGCACGCTCAACTACTCTGGTGCTACATAACTAGAGGGTCTGGAAGGTATACGCCTTCAATTAATAACAACTTGAGGAACAAATGCAAGTCTTTTACATAACTTTTCGTAAACTTTGTTCAGTACACAGTATATGTATATTACCTCTTTTTCTGTGGCCTCAATTTCACTTCGAACTTTCTGCAACAGGGCGTAATCGAGACCTTTCACAAGATGGGTATGTTCCATGTCACCACCCAAGAACTTAGATTCTTGAATAAGCTGCTTCCGACGTTCAGCTGCATTTAGATTTCTGAAAAAAACATCATAGCTTATTTTTGCCAGCATTTTAAAGCCTGCTGATTTACTACCGTCTCAGCGCAGCTAATAACAATTTTGTAATCTTGACAATCAACTAATTTTGTTAAGAAGTTTCTAGTTATTCTCAACGTTTACTAATATATAGGGGTAGTATTCCAGTAATAGGTTTCACTGACGATTTAAGGTCGGGCGCAACTGCATGGTATCCCGCCGCGGTGGCCGAGATTGATTCATCTGTGGGAACGGTTTCGGTAGTCGCGCCTTCTCGTCTCTCTTTTGCACGATCCCTGTAACGAGCAGCTAATTCCGCCAATTTGTCATCCTGGAAAAATTGCAAAAAAAATAAATCCGTTTGTTTGTCCATCCGTTACAATCTGAATGCGAACACCGCTGATTAGGACGCGTCAGAAGTGGAGGGTAAACTTCTGACAATATTCATTTTCATTTTCTAGTAGTCTTTATTTCATCATCTGATAAAAATGAAGTAAAAACGTAATGTTTGTAATCTCGCCAAAATTAAATCACGAGTTTCTTCTAACATTATATTTTGCCTGTGTAGACTGCTGTAAAGTTGTAGCGATATCGTGCAGTTAACAAACGATATAACTTTGGGATAGAAAGGCTCAGTTTTTTAGCAAGCTTACCTCGGCTTTACGCAAACTCGCATAATACTGTTTTTTCTTTTTTCGCTCGGTGATGCTATGCGACGGAGTAGCGGAAGCTACACCCTTTGGTGCCGGAGCCCCCATAGATCCTGGTGCCGAAATTCGCTCTGAGCGTCCTCCGGTTGAGCCTGCACTCCCAGCTGCCGGGACGTTCGCCCTCGGTGTCATCATTAACTTACGGAAATCGGCATTTGTCATGTTACGGGACGGCGTACTGTAAACAATTCAGACATGATAATATTATACCGTGGATTAACTTCGCTTTGAACGGCTCAGAGCGAAGCTGTGACACACGAAACGCCGTGAAGGCATAAGTGTGCGTTTCGTTTGTACTTACGCATGATAATTCTGTTGTTTATAACGGCATAAAAAGAACACTCGTTCATGCATGGGTAAAACTGAGTTGTTTGTCATGACAAATCTTCATCTTCGACGAATCAAACCTTAGCCAGTAAGCTAAATACCCTGTAGTATGATGTACGTATGAAAATGAACAAGGTATGTGTAGTCGACCTTTCGCCGATACTCACTCAGGCACGGTCGTATGACCTGACGGTGCTAGTGGATTGGAAAATTCCATTTTCCTTAGTTTCGATCCTTCAACAATATTGGTACCGATTCTTTTGACACTGCACCCACAGACACGATGCGGCGAATCTTGATCTTCTTGTTACTTAGAGACAGAATCGACAAACAGCCTTAAGCAGTATCTGAGCGAAGCAGTAAATGTAATTGTTCTGTCTACATTTAGGCGACGTATTCTTCTAGACCAAAATAGACGCACGAACCGTTAGGACCATCTGCGGTGCAAGCAGTACCGAGTCATGCAAAACTGTGTGATAAGAGTAGAACAAACTAAATATTGAAATTCGGAACTCCGGGTAAGCGTTCTCTTGCACATCATAACACTGCGCTGAATGTTCTGTTTTGACTTGGCTCTCTGCTAAACACCACACACGCACAACCTTGTTTCTGGTACACTGGATCGCTCAATGCGGAGCGGGTTTTTTTGATGTTCTTTAGATGATAGGTTTTCGTATATGACACTGACATCATACAAAAAAAATATAGGAAAACGCTATACACATTTGGAATATATTTATGTTATTAGTATATATTTATTATACAGATATATAACAACATAATTTTTATCCTTTTATGTTTGAAAAGATATTCTTAATTTCGATCATATATTCTCGTCATGATAACGAGAATCTATGATCAAACGCGAGAAGAATCAGAAGTTTTTTCAACTTCGTTTACAACCAACTCTCCCGGAGTTTTGTTGTTTTACGCCTCTGATTCTACATAGGCTTTGCTTATTTTGCACAGAATTGGTCAATAGAAGCTCGAGTTGACCAGCGCATATTTTCAAGTGTCCTTTTTGTAATAAATCTCTTTTGTCATTTATATAAGCATGATAGAAGGACCCACCCCTAGCACAAAAAGTGATAATCTTCACAAAATTTGCTGACATCTGTTATAACATGTTTAAGAATTAGCCCAGTTAGGATCGATAAAGCCTTCTCGATCGTAGCATATAACGAATTATTTTCTATATTTTCTGGGAGGCGATTATCATATCCAGCATGATTATCCTGATGGTTTTAGTGCCAAAACCCAGTTTGTTAATGTTTGTGTACAGTATCAATTTTAGAATGGCAAATCGCCAGTGTTGACAGATGAACGGTTACCCGTGTTGCATGTTTTGCTTTAGTCACTATGAATGAAATGACGCTAACCTACATAGTAAATCCTATTTATATTGAAACAGCCTACTAAGATCATCTTCATCGATCAGCAAACGGTCTATGCTAAGTTAAGAATATTACTTAGAATTTTATATTGCTTTTCCGTGCGGGGGTCGCACATGCTGAAATGCAGAGCTCTCATCTAAATAGTTTGATAGTTCCAAGACAGACTTCGTCGGTAATGTTCCATAACTAGCAAGGCACAGATCTTCCATTGTTAACACGATTACAAGAAGCTAGTACGTCCGCTCAGTGGCTTGTCCATTGATAGCCAATATAGGTAGACAATTGCTCTTTATTTACTAGAATCAAATAAGGTCGAAAGTCATTGTGTAATTTATAACACTTCCTGAGGGTAAAAAAAAACTTGAAACCCTTCCTACGTTTCGAAGAAGGCAATACTGCTCTGTTTTATTACGTATCATACTCTTGCGATTATGATGCCTGTGCATACGTTAATGATTTCTTTTTATATTAGTTATTATTTTGTATTTCAAAAAGATTCAGTATTGCTTATGGCTGAAACAGTGAATAATCTGGATGAGCACACGTCATAACTCTCGAATAAGGCTTATGTCATACACTGAATATATATGTCACCTTTAAGATTTCGTTTTATGCTGACTAATTGGCCAACCATAATGTTGTATAGCCACGATATTCTTCACTCTTCAGCGAAAGTGGTGCTGCTTAGCAATGTCATATTCAGTCAGTAAATATCTCTGAAAAAAAAATAGCAATATTCTGCATGTTAACTTGTTGCTTATGGTAGTTCAAAGATATTTACTTCATATAAAGTACGTTAACTTTTGTGCATAGTGAAAAATCGATTTTTTTTTTTCGATTAAGTTGAACGCTCGTAAACTTTAGCTCGAGTTACCTTACACTCGGTGTCTTACAAGATGAATATGTAGGATGCCCGTCTTCTTTGAAGAGCAATTGAGGCTGGGGGTTGAGAGGAGAATGAACAAAGTGCATAGACAACTTTTTAAGCAGCAGGACAAGTACTGTTAATTTTCCTATGACTAACGCGTATTGCGAATACTTTTCGGGTTTGGTGAGGCGATGCGATGATGCGGTTGATGTCACCGCACGATTGGCGCGCTGTACACACTGCCTTCGTTATGAATGTAATAGAGACCCATTGTTTCGTACCTATGGCCCTGTACGTGGCTTAATTCGGTTTTAAGATTTAAGGCCATTTGGTCTTTAAAAATTCTCTTAAAGTTTTAAAAGTTTCTTTAGCACTGTTGTCAACATACAGACGACAAAGTTTGCTTGATTCAATGGATATAATGTGACAGGTTCGACATTATAAGTGCCTCACGTTTATTTGAACGCGTAATCATATGATATACGAAACGCTTCAATGTAAAAGGGGTGCCAGCCTTTTTGAGCTGACGCATCAAGATTGTTTCATAATTTCGCGTGGAAGAAACAAAAATCTAGCTTTTTGCTATAAACTTTTCTAACATAACGCATATTAAATGTATGATACAAAATACCTTGGGATCTCAATGAGATACCAGTTACATGTAATGTTTCGGTGAATTAAATCAATAGACGATAAGTGATGATCAGCGAAGTTCCTTGAAGCTTTGTGATGAGCTTTAAGGATATAATTTTTGCTAGTCACCTTACTTACCTTTCCACAGAAAGTTTCCAAGAGACTATTAGTTCATTAACCTAATCGTGTTAGGCATGGAGATCTACGAACTAAGCTATTTATTTAATAGAGACTGCCTAGTTTCCCCCTGCTATTAACTTTCTATCTCTACTGCCTTGTAGGCAGGCCGCTCCGCTTCTGCACCCTAATTCGCACCGCTTATCCAACCTTATGCCATGTTCACTGTTTTCGGCGCTTTCAGAAGGTCCTTAGAATTATTTATAGGTATATGAATATCCAGGTCAATCTGAAGACAAAGCAAGTACGTTGGTTTCATATTTTTTTTTGTCGTCTGACGCACACAAAATAGTTCACCCGCCGTTAGTTTCATGTGCCCCTAAGATCAGTTTTCGATGACCATTTGCGTCTAAGGTTTACAAAACAGGGATGTATGAGATTCTCGCTTGCTGGATGGTGGTTTAATAAAGTTTTTTATATGATTTTAACAAAATGCAGCAGGCTTCTGTATAAAGTCGCATACGAAGCCATGAATCGATGAAAGTCCAAGTTGAACACATCTTATTTATATGCCGTTGTTGTAAGCAGATCGCTCCCTTGAGAGCAGTGCCCAGTGTATACACCCATGAAATCTTTTGTATCTTCACGTCCGACTTCCGCATCTTCTCTTGATCCTATTTCGAAATGCTCCTACCTTTGATTGGATGAAGTTTGTTATTTATTTTAATATACCCGAAATTAAACACACTCTAATAAAATAAACGAGTATATATACGATAAACAGCAGTTCCACACAGACAATTCACGCAATAATTTCAGTCAGTACTATCATTATTATTATTACTATTATTATTTTATTAGAATTTTATTCCGAGTTTGCCGTGATGTATGACTATGTAGCAGACTATTCCTAATAATTGATTTTAATTCACTTATTTTGATGAAACTAACTCGTATTTATCGTAGATTATCACCCGCATTACATATTACAGGTTTTTAGATTTCCTGACATTGTTCACTTATAAATATTTTACGGCGAGAGTTGTCTGGTTCCATACACGCGCCATTAGAATTTGTTATGCAAAAAAAAATGATTCCGACGATTCGTTCACTTTAAGATGGAGGCAAATAAAAGATTAGCTAACTTTAGTTCCTTTTTATTATATACGTCATAAAGCACAATATCCACCGCTTGCTAATTAAAATAAATTTATTTTGGCGACATTGATGCATGTTAGACGTCGCGAAAAATTTTTGGCCGCCCACACGAAGAATACTTTATTATGACGCCCAGCTACAAACAGACATGTTTATTGAACTTCACCCGTTTGTACTTCGTCTGCTAGCTTAATCATTACCCTCGTCGCCATCGATCGACGTATATCCAACGTAATGACTGTAAAGGTCTTCTCAACATAGGACTTAAGTATTTGTTTCTCGATGCAAACGACTAAACAAAACCACAGTGGATTCCGTTCGTTGCCTTTTGTTCTGCTTCCTATGCAGTAATTTGTTTACACCGCTGTAAAACGACCTTCATTTTCCAGAGTTGATCGAACTTCTTGCGAAAGGGGTGAAAAATGGAGTCACCAAGATCCGCTGGCCAGGATTATCGAGACGATAAACAGTATCGGAAGAAAGCCTGATATACCCTCCGTTGGAACTCGGCTCTAGCAGTAAAACAGGTCTTCTAGACCTGTTTTATTGCTAGAGCCGATAAATGATAACGTCTACCATGATGTTTCCGAGAAGTGATCGAGTCAGTGAGTAATTACATGTGGGAAGCCTCTGGAGACAGCTCGAAAATCTATTTAATCCTGTCTGAAAAGCCGTTCGGAGTTTTAGGCAATAGGAAGTGTAAGCATGAATTGCGCTGCATATTTATATTGTTAGTTTTTTATTTAGTAACAGATCTGGGCTAAAATTTGCCAAATGGTTTATATAAGGGGTGAAGTAGGTCAAAATATCTATGTAAAACCTAGAATTTTTATCTTCTTTAGGATGCGCGAAACGAGCTGAACGAAGATCTCGCCTAAAACGGGAGTGAGGCATTTAAGGGAATCAAGGACTACCCTTAATCAGCCGTAGCTGTGTTATTGTTGTCCTCGTTTGAAGGCGGCCTGGGGACTAAATTAACATGCTGGTATCGCTGTAAAAAAGCTGGAAGTTCGTACAGAGTTTTCTGAGATTGTGTTTCGCATATTTTCCAAACGTAGAGGAATTTAGTTCTTTGCCAAGCTTATTTAGAAGCCACCGTTACTTAATTTGCGCTTAACTTCAAAAAATTTTGGCGCTGCTAAAGCGGTAGGGATGCATCTTGTCGACAAAACTGTCGTGTGACTCAGGTCTTGGGCTAAACCACCAGGTAAAGACAGCAAACCATAATGTTCAAAACCTTTCACAAGGTGAACATAAAATTAGTCGAAAGCACTCACTAAAGTAACAACACGGTAAAAACCGAGTAGAGTTACGATTTCGATAGCAAGATACATAACCAATTTATAAAAGCTACTAGCAAGTTATATTTTGCTTTTTTTTGGGTATTCCTGGTCCGTTTTCTACCAGTGTGAAAAAAGGCAAGGTGCAGTATAAAAGAGATGCTTTTTTTCTGAATAGGTACAGATTCCCTTGCTTATGATAATTGGTGAGCTCTAGGAAACCGTGTCTATCGTAGCACTGCAGATATAAAAGTATTTGTGAAGGGAATGATTGCGTTTTAAGAAGGTATATTCATGTTTAGACTTTGGCCGATTTTCGACTATTCCTTATTGTGGGATAGTAGTATTACCATTTTCAATGACACTAGTCTAAGTAACTGCTAATATGAAGTCGGGAAAATACTGCTACTAAAGAGCATTACCAAGTAAGACATCGATAGACACAACTGCCATTGCTGTATATCGAAACCTGTGTTAGGACAGGGACCTGTTAAAGACGGTCTTGGTTTCTGTATAGTACTTGTCATCACGCCTATAACGATAAAAGCTATGATTCTCCCCATAGAAGGCTGCCCCATCGTGGCCTTGGATAGATCCCAGCTGACTTGCGTGATTAAAATCGGTCAAACTTGACAAGTGCACGACTGATCAGGCTACTACAGGCTAAAAAAGCCCACATTTAGACGGAAGTCACTAACGGTCTGTAAGCCAGCCTACTAGCTTCTCGGATCATCCTTCTGTATCATGCGTCTGCCTGTTGCATTGCTATTTTACTCTCATCGCCACGCTTTATTACCAGCACTTCAAATTTGTAATGATATCATATATTTTTTTTCTTGCCTACTTTTAATATTAGATTAGAATTTACAGTTAGGTGGCGAAAATCGTGGCCACATACAGTAAAAACCTACTTTCGGGACAAGTCACATTGGCGATATCAAATCTACAAATTGCAAATACCGGGCGGACTCCTATAATCATTAAAGTATTCGTTCATCCACCATTACCGAAGCGGTAGATGTTAGGGGAGTGCCGTATTTTCCGCGTTCACTGCACTGCATCGTAAGCTTGGTAGTGAGAGCAGCACCACAAGCCATCCGTCCGTCCTGCACAGCGCGCCTTATACACTTTATTTAGATTTGCAAGACGATTCATCACGGTATAATGTCGAGTTATACCGTATGGTATTATAATCATGGCGTCGAATCTATTTTTCGCACGCGTTTTTAATAATGGTTTTCGTCCAAACGTTATATATATATATATATATATATATAGAAGTCTGCCGCAAAGACCCTTACCAGTTAGCTGTATGCTTTAGGCGGTCATTAGACACCTCATATAAACCTAAATCTACCTCTTAAGAGCCTAGTTCTAAAACGTTATTCAAAGGTGACATATTTTGAGACTGACTCAAAAAAAGCATCTCATATATTTGAATATCGCTATAGGATATAAGACAGATATCCAAGGAGAATATCCTGATTCGTTTGTTTCGACAGCAATATGACATTAAACATAAACTGATGTTTGCAACAGGGAGAAATTGGCAGAAAGCGAGATTTCCATCGGTGTCCCTATGATGAGCATCTTCCAATAGGTAAATAGTTATCTCGTTTTTTAGGTGTAGGTTCTTTTTTTCAAAAGTACTGAAAAACTTTCTCGGAAAAAGCATATTGAGCTGCGCTGCCGGCCTACGTCTGAGGTCCTTCTTTCCTGATTCATCGAGCAGTGCATTACGCAGCAAATGTAGTACAATCTACTGGCAGGCGTGTGAATTGCCATGTCTACACCTGGGCAATCGCAGAGCTCGCGAGTACTACATTTTCTCTGTATAGCGCGTCATGTCTCGATGTTCTTATCGGAAAAGCTTTGAGGCTATCTACGCTGATTTTCCCACGAATCATCATTCTGAGGGTTGTCCTGTGTTTGAGATTCTCGTGTCTGGCTCAGAAACTCGTCATTATGTTCGAGTGTGTCCTTGCGCTGTTTAGGAGATGTAGAATCGGATGGCCGATGTTCTGTACACCCGACATTTAGGAAAACTGTTAATAGAAGATAGATGAATGTCGATATGTCTTGCATGCGTACAATAGCTTGCAACATGCATGATAAAACGATATTAGAATACCTAATACTGAACGCTACTACTCAACCTTTCCAGCCTGATGCTTCCAATCGAATTTGAGCGCGTTAAGTTACTACAGCTTCCACGAAAAAATCGCCCATATAGCGCTTATTCAGGGAAGACCTGAGTTCTATTGTGCCCTCGATGTAGGTTTTTCTGTCTATTGGCAGTGTGTGTACATTTAGCTACAAGAATGAAAGCACAAATTCAAATAGACTTGGTATACAAAAGGGTATTTATTTCTGAGAAAAGGTGTTTGTTTATGAAGTGACAAAATTAATTTAATACTATCAGTTATTATTATTTGTTATTATCATCGTCGTCATTATTATTACTATCATTATTATTTGTTTTCTTCTTTTCTGTTTGTTTTTCTTCTATTTAAATAAAAATCCTAGTCTCTTATTCATTTGTATGCGCAATACAGTAACGAACATTGGAAAGACCTTTTAACAGCTTCATAAATATACCGAGGAAACATCTTTTTTCATTTTTACTCTCTCTGCGTATGCCACCGACTCGTTTCGTATCGTCCCGGATACATAGCATTATGAGTCAGCCTGGTGCCGAAGAATCATGTGTCCACGTTGACAAGTCCTCCCATGTGCCTCAGCGTGTCACACCGCATCCCATGTTTGTCTCCTTTTCTACTTGTGCTTCTTCTTGTTGTTACCGTTGCCATCATCTTTAAAACTTTAGGTGCACGGAACCTGAGCACACCTCAGCTCCGGACACGTTCTGGTCGAGTCCTTCAAAACTTACCTCTTTCAATCTGTTGCATCGTTAGTATTTGTGTCGTTATCCGCATTACCGCCTTTGCCATCATCATAATGACAGAGTCTTTTTTTTTTGTGACTTCGACTGTCCCACGTCGGCGGTGAACACAGTTTGTCGTTTATACCTTTCATTGCTTACTACTAGCTAACCACTCTGAACGTTCAACGAATCCTGCCGGCTCATCTTCATGCTAACAGACGATCTAACTACTCGATGTTTGCATCTCAACGCCATATCTCAATCTCAGCAGCTTATTAAGCACAAAAGAGTTTTTCAATATTAGCACAAACGATCCACCAACGTCATCTTCGTCAACTCATCCTGCCCCTTTCGCGTTCATTTTTGATTAACTGATCTGCACGCGTACACGCTCAGCGTCTGGATTCGTATGCAATTTCAATCCATCTTACAAATATGTATGTATATATATTTTTTAGATATAATGTTTGTTTTCATGTTTATCTAAGCCTCTCTCTCCCTTACCACCTGTTTTTCATCTTCTATATTTTGTCGTATGTGATGAATTCTTTCCCGACCTGACTGCTTGCGTTTGGCCGAAAAACAACTTGATCTATTTCATTATATTCAGATTGACACTATATAGTATAATCTTGGTTTGTTATGTTACTGGTCTTCGGGTATTGTTTGGGGTTGTCATTGCCGTGGTTGTTTTTACTTTTCACCACGACGCCTCATTCTGACAAGTCGACTAACAAGACTGGTCGTATTAACGCTTTTGGATGAGTCTGTTTGTCAAACACCGGTCAGTTTTATTGTTGTTATCTGTAAATCATTAATTATCGCCAATTGATGATAGATTTCTATCAAATTAATGCCACGCTTATTATCATAACAGGTAGCTTCGAAATTTGTTTTTTACTGTTTTGCCATCCGCATCATTTAGGCTTGGTCTCTCGAATCGCTTGCTACTCTTGAACGCAAACCGCCTATACCACTTTCTTAGATTTACCATAAGCACAGATGTATCATATACTAATCTTTTTTTCTTTTATACCAATCGCACATCTGTCCTGTATTGTACCGTGCTTTTGTTTTTAGTGCTAGTGTTTTGTCCTTACAAGTGCCAAGTTATTCGAGATTCATATGGGGACGTTTTTCAGAATACACAAAATTTTATTTTGTCTTCTTTGCCCGCCCTGTTACGTTTCTCAGTTTTCCCTTTGCAATAACAAGAATGCCGAAAATTTCATCAATTAATCCATCAACATTCTAGCACTTCCAACCAAAGTCACCGTTCGTTAGCTCCCTCTATCAGCCCCTCGGTTCTCATTGCTTTCGACAACTTCAGAACTGCCACAAAACATCGATGCACACAGAGAGGATGGACATGTTCTTGGCTGATTAATTTTCACAGATTGTCTGCTAGTTTATTTATACCTGAGTGTAATTGCGTTAACTTTTCTGCTAGTGGGTGTCTGCACATGAGCCTGTGTGTGTGTGTGTATCAAACGACCATACTTTCAAAAGGTTGGCTGGTCATTGTAGCTCGAGCGATACCAGCCGCTACGTCTGCAACTCATGCAATTGTTAGTCAGATGCAAGAATATCTGGTAAAAAAATGAAGCTCGTTGAAGCTTCGTTTTCAGTTTGTCGTGCATCATCAGCATCATGATCGTCAGCATCATCACTATCACTGGTCCTGCATTTTTCGTTTATTGAATTTTTTTCTTAGTTTTTTTTTGTTTTGGCCTGCATTCGTTTTTCTGCGTCTGCTGAGTCCCGCCTATTTAAAAATTGATTTAGCCTCGCTCTCACGCCCTAATCGTAACGTCTGACGAAACTGATGGTGGTAATCACGGCTGACTGATTGCTTTCTTTATACTTTTCGGTTTATTGTCTTTGCTGCCTATCTATCTGTCTGTCTGCCTGCTGGTCTGACATTTGATCATTCCTTTGTTAATTTCTTTCTCGTTTTCTACTCAAAGTATCCTATATATTGTTTATATTTGTCATCATCCGTTCATAATAAAGTCATTTATAACAAGAGTGTCCCTTATCGTTTCTCATGTTTGTGTTACCAAGAATCACCAGGGGTAGTCTAGGTAGCCGTTAAGCTATAGTTAGCAAAGTAGTTACTGTTAGTTCGTTAGTACTTCTCTCTCTAGCTCATATGTTCTGCAGCATCGTGTCCTACACAAATGGCGTACGCGCGTCGTCGTTCTGTGCATTGGAACAGGTCGTCGATTATGCCTGCTACAGAACTATTTTTCGTCGACGGTGGCAGTGAAATCACCTCCCGTATGCCACCCGTATGTGCGCCTTTCACCTTTTGTTGTTAAGCTGTTTCCCTTCAGCACTTGATTGCGCTAGAAAAGCCCACTTTATCACCCTTGCTCGTTTTCTTAACATATGATATTTCGTTGAGCAGCTATGTTCCTTTAGCAGTGGAAACCAGCGGCCCACGGATAGTTCAGCGTGAAAACCCACCTTAAAAGAGATCAAGGCCGGCTTTCCTATCTTCGCCCTCTATCACTGTTCTGCTGCTTCTTCTTCTATGTTTTCTGTTCATTAGCACTCGAGCTACGACCTGGGCAGGTGCTAAAACAGCGAGGCCAACCTGCGTTAATCATCCTTCAATCAATTAACCCGCAAGTAGAAAACGAATGGACTCAAATGTATTTGTTGCCAATTTTTCTGTCCGAGGTCGCATCGATCAAAACACACGGTCTGTGACAAATCAACATGTCGGGCTTACTTGCGCTTTACTTTTTTTTCTATTCGTATTGCTATTGTTCATAATGCGGTGGTTCTCATAGTGGTGCGTAGCGCTAGCAGTAGTCAAGTGTTTTACCAACTAGAAAAAAAGTTGCCAACCCCGCCCGGTCCTGAATGCATCAGCTATTATCATCATTTCTGATACGTCTATTAGAAACCGCCGACGCTCACGGCCATATCATATTGCCATTTGTCCACAGGCCTTCTTTGTCTACTTATTTGCTCACGTGGTCGCTAAGTTAATCGGCTGTTTGTTTTCGTTTGTGTTAGTCCTCTTACCCTCGTTTGATCCGACAGTCAGCTCGGTTAGAACTTCTTCTAGTTCCTGGCATCCTTATCGCCAAGTGTATCTCCAGCCAACTACCACTGCTAACTACCTTCATTGTGTCTCTAGTTATGAGGTCCTCCTACGATCCGGATGCTGCTGCGTCTTCTATTGCTGCTGCGGCTGTCGCTGTAGTGGTTATTTTCCTCCTGCACCTGTACCCCTGCGGTTTTTCTTCCCTGTTTCGAAGTCGTCGTTCGCGTGGCCCCGTCGTCTTCTCTAGCGCCTCGTTCGCCACCTGCACAGGGGCCTTTGGGGGTCCCACAAGGATCCTTAACATCGGCTCGCTTTATCAGGAAATCTTACACAGCTTAGAGAATTTGGTTCAGCAGTGGGTTGAGCGGCCGGTAGGGACCCCAGGGACCCTCGAGGAGTCCTCACGTGCGAAGGGGTGTTTCGGCACAGGCAGAAGCGATGCCAGCCACGTCCTTGAAGCAACCCTCCTGTGATGTAATAGACAACGAGACAGCAAAACGGCGGAACAAAAACAATGTGAACACGGAGACTTCAGTAAGGAAAATAACCAAAATCAAACATAACATACTAGAATTATAGTGTTATCATGATACTAAATATGGATGTTATTATTTTTTTTCTTTTCGACAACAGGAAAAGAGGTTCGGCCTGCGTTCAAGTTTTCCGCGCTCTGTTTTTCCCAGCTCCAAAGTGGTTGATACAACTGGTGGTGCCGACGAGATAATGCGTTGGCAAGATATGGCATGTAAAAAAAAGGTGGCCAAGCGGAGATAAAGCTATGCTTATCTCGCACGAAAATGGGTCTGTACGAATAGAAAGCAAACGTTTTCACAACTCGCTAATGAAGACCGAGGCCATAGCAAATACGAAGCCTGGAAGACATAAACACTGAAGATTCATCGCAGTTCACTAGGCAAATTTGCTTGATTCTATTCTAATATAGGACGAAATACATACGCCATTATGTAAGGTCTCCCTTGTATTTTGCCATTTTTTTTCTGTTTCACTAACATCAGGTTGCAAATGTGAATAGACGCAACTCAGACGGTTTAAACGTTTACGGTCATTATCCTGAACGAGCAGCTAAACTTTAATTTACGATAATCAACAAAATCTCGTTTCCGCAGACTGCTCGTCGTGACGCTTCGGTGCACGCTCGAATTTCTGCCAACCGAATTATCTCTCCAAAAGGCAAGGCTGCACCCAATTCACTTTGAAATTACGCCTTCCTCTTTCTCTGGGATATATTACTTATTCTGAGGCTACTTCAGGTCCATGTTGTTGGTTTGAGAGCACCACGAGATCCTTCAAAATCGATACTAGAGCTTCTTGCATCTTTTTACGTCTAGTATCAGTGCCATGCGAAATCATGCGCATAGTCAAGAACTCATGTTTAACAGCTAAAAGTAATAACTAGCCACTTTTTTAGTTCCCTAAACCCATCAGAGAGGTTAGATACTTTTCCTGCTATTAACACAAACACATCTTGCGTGCATCTTCCGTGTGCGCACGCACGCATTTGAAGTAAGATATAATGCTACAGCATTTATATAAGATGATTCATAATTACAAAAGATACCTAGATTGATGGATACACGCTGGAAGATTTGCAATTACACCGAAGTTAACTTTTACGCCGACCAGAACTCCCAACAAATTGTTTCTAATAGTGACTATATGCAGAAATCTGTTAGGAACCGAGGAAATGTACGCGTGCTTGGCAGCACGACGCTAGATATCATTTGATTGCGAACTACATCGAATCGCTAAAAATAAGGAAGATAAAGGCCATTAGAAAAGGCAGTCATTGATTGCAACTGCTGCGCGGTTCCTTCGAATGAAGTAGATGTACACTTCAATCGGACTTCGCTGGCTCGAAAACCCAATACAAAGATCCGCTATGATAAGGTATTTGTAACTCGTTTAACTACCGGTAGCTGTTGCAATGTAATCGTAGTGTCAAACGCTACTGCTTACAGTATAAAGGCGGACGGGGCGAGTTGCCTCGCCAGCAGCCCATCAGTGGGTCAATGTAGTTTTTTCGTAGCGGAGGTTATTTTGCCGTACTCAATAATACTACTGCTACTAGCACAAACAGCCCCGGCACTAGCAGCCACAGCAGCAACTAGCGTGGACTAGATCGAAATAGTACTGAAAAAAAAATATTTTTAGGTCGTAAACCTTTCCTTAAGGCGCTGCGCGGCTACTTGTGGTGTTACTGCTATGTCTGTTGTGTCAGAAAAAAACGAATGAATAGACGGAACTCGCACGATTGGTCGGCTGGTCTGGAAGACTCTGTTGCGCTGTCGCTGCTAGTACTGCTTCTGAAAGTAGGGAAAGTTGGCTGCAGCCTTACTGGCATAGTCACTGGGTATGCAAGTAGGAAAAGTGGGGCTACGCTGGAACAGGCCGCGCCTGTGTAAGGGACGTGCGCTCGCTCAGACAAGAGAGTTCCGACCGGCAGCTTCCTGACTGAAGAGGTCGGCCTACGAGGGTTGAATAGTAGCAAGAGATTCTGCGGACCAACAACCACCAGATGACGCGTGACAATGGGAGGGACAACAGACAGAGAGGCTTCGCGTTACATCTAAAGTTTGAGTTGTGGAGTTGAATCCCTAAAGTTGGCATCCGGCGGCTAGAGTTTTCCGCCAGATCGGTTTTCCTAACCCCTAGCCTTCCTTTTACCCATACCCTTGACTGTAACTGCTCAGTTCGGGGCCACTGAGTACGAATTCGCTGACTCTATCGCCACGCCACACTGGATAGGTGTGGCAGCCATCGCTGTCGACGATGCCAGGGCTACGGTAGTGGTTAGGGGAGTGGTGAGGTGAAGCTGGACTTAAGGCATGCTGTTGCTGCTGTTAGGAAAAATATGCGGGTCACCGTTCTTGACCACCCATTGCCCAACATAACTAGCACACTTTAATCTTAGCTTCTCGGAATTAAGTCACTTTAATAAAACCGCTGTGGGGATTGCTGGCCATATCGAAACACTGCTATGCAATTGGCCCCACTGCAGTCCGGACAAGCTTCTCTATGAGCGTTGTATCCGTGGTAGCATGGATTACATAATCGTAGCACACGACAACCTTGTCATATAACTGTTTCTCGCTTATTAGCAGCGTCTATTACTCTTATCTCAAATCTATTACTCTTAGAGTTGCAATAGTACAGCGAAAGTCACTTTGATCGTCTAGCGATATACTACCGCCTACATATGCTATCATTGTTTGTTATGGCCACTTAGCCGGCGTGTGTATAGCCCAGTTTGGGATAAAGGGCCGGCCGTGTATGTAGGTATAAATGATCCACCTGTTTAGCGTTAGTATTTTTCGTTGTCTAAACTATGCCTTTTGTATTAGCGTAGTAGATTGCAGCGCAGACCAGGGAGCGGCCAAAAGCCTGCCTGCCTGCACTGCGTCTGTACGGTGTTGGTAAGGGACGTCTTGGCGATGTGAGTGCTGGGAAAGCTGGGGCATAACTTGGAAGCCCTTCTATCGATACCGTGATAGATTAGTGTTCCGGATATTAAATATATGCGAGCAACTCTTAATGACCACCGAGATAGGCAGACACAGAAGAGAAGAAAGGAGGAATATGGTGGTAGTTCTGTCTGTTGTTGACAGCTGCGACTGACACCAATTATCTCAACCGACCACGAAGGATGAGAATTAATCCTTCATCTTCTGGCCGTCCACCAAACGAAAACAGAATGAAGAAGAACGACATAGCCAAGAGACTCTTCGAAAGGCGGCTACTGGCTCAAATAACACTTTTCATGTGCTCGAAAGCACGTGACAATACGAGAGTATATTACTCAAGAGGCAAACCGTTATGATGCTACCCCCCTTAGCATTGCTTCGTTTCAAATCGTTCCGCAATGCGTATTCCGCAAGCCAGCTTTAGCATGTTCAGCGGTGGCGTATTTTCACCGGACAAAAGATACATAGACAACGTGACAATGATTATCCCGATTTTTCGATTCGTTTCCACGAATCGCGAGAAACAAACAAGAGTTTTCTAGTATTTTTCCTTCTCTATGCCTAATGTAACAGCCTAAAGGCGCATTGAGTTTACACGAACTTCGAAAGTAATCGATAACTGCGTCATGCTTTGACGCTCCAACATTTGGAAGTTATGTACTTCGATTAATATGAGATTAAATAATTGCAAAGCAGACATTATTTTCAAGCTTCTCACGAATAATATGTGCATATGTTTGTGTCTGTTACAAATTTAAGTTAAGAAGTCTTAAAGAGGCAGGACACAATTACCAGGTAACGCCTAATATGACATGAAATACTGTTGATCGACGGCTTCCAGTGTACAGATTATTCGAAATTTGACCATCTGCTCTGAAAATGTTGTAATTATTCCAAGATGGTACATTTTTTTTCTCTCTAAAGAACGGTGTGTTTCATTTTTGCTTTTTCGTGTTTTTGTTGAAAAAGCACTTAAAAACCCTCTGACTAGGCAACAATATCGCCGACAAGCTGATACAATCAGTTCCGGTTGTACTTTGCATTTTTTGCCTCCTTTTTTAGTTCTTTCGCGTCCTCTCTCTCTCATACCCACACACACACACTTGTTCCTTCTCCCTCTTTGTCGCCCTTGCCCATATTTTGCCTCATAACTATACAAAGCGGCTTTAACTCGGCTGGCGTAGAATTGTTGTACCCAAGTCACATGCCTTGATGGCGGATCCGTTGGAGAGGGGCTGACTGCTCTTGAGCGGCTTCCGTAGATACGTGCGGCGGTGCATTTCGTCAACGTGGGTCAGATACCACGTCCCGCCAGACAGCCCGTCCAGGGAGCCACCCGGCGTGTGCGGAGCTGAAAACGGCAAACAGTTCACAATATAAACAATTTCATAATATCAGTGCTAGTGGCGTATTGAAAAGTCTGACCTTATAGCGTCCATAATCGACGTGGAACGTAAACGTAGTTCACGGAAAATATGCGTTGAAGCATTTGTATGTACATACATGCATGCATGTACGTTTATGAATTCCGCAAATTCCAGAGAAGTATTTATAAATGTTGCCGACTGGCATATGGGTCCGTTAAAAATAACGTACAGGCATAAATATCCACAGTGTTCGACTATCCGTTACGTCTGTCTTATTGTTTCCTATTGTAACTAATATAATTGGAATAATCGTTCAAGTCGTCGCAGGTTAACGTACAGTGATTGAGAAATAGTTCAAGAAAGACGGCGAAACAAGAACTCACCGAGGTGGTGTGTCTCTTGGCGATGCTTCATAATAGCAGCGAAATCGGTGGGTGATACTTTGATGCGCTGCGCGAGGCGATCCTTTAGATCAGTGAGGCTGTCGTGGAGAGCGCGCAGAGGCGAGTCCTTGGTCACGTCGTCGATCACCCGCAGTGAGAAAAAGGTCGCGGCAGACCCCGAGCCATATGAGAACATGCCGAGCCTCCTACCCGCGATCGACTCAATTGGCGTATTGCCGAGATACGAGGCCAAACAGGAGTATAGCGATGAGGTGTAGGTGTTGCCTACCTGATTCGAGATGAGTAACGACGGTTTGGTCTTGCGTTCGTAGGTGTCTTTCGACAACGCGATGAACGCCTTTTCGACGCCCCGATCGAAAATGCTCTCCTCGAGTTTGACATCCTTGAACGGTGCCACCGACTGGTACTCTTCCCCCGTCGGATGCTGTAGGAAGTCATTGAGCACGAGTCTAGCTAGCGATTTTTGAACCAGTTTGCCGTACGGTGCGTGAAAGATGAGCGCGTCAAAGTCCTTCAGACGAATCTGGGCTCCTGCAACAAACACCGCAAAACCGGGAATGTCAAACAACGTGTTAACCCAAGTAAGTCGCCGACACAAACAGAGCACAACAAACACACTTACATGTAGGAAGGCCCAGGCAAGACAGGTGACAGCCTCACGTAAGACGAAAAACGAAAAAGAGCTACCAAGCGAGATAAAGAGACCGCACGAACGCATACACCTACACACTTGTTTGTATACACGACAAGTGTAGACGCCATTGATGCCGGCCAAGCCAAAGCACTGGATGTGCTAACCTCAACACAAGCTTAACAAAGGGCTGTCTTTCGACAAAAAATTTGCAACTGCGGCTTGCTAGAGCACGCAGTTGATCGGTCCGCTTCGTCCTGTCTCGATAGTTACTCTAAATTGTTCTCCCAGTGGATGCACGATGGCCGGATTCTTGGCGACATTCAGCTAGCCAGCCGGACTGTGCTAACTTTCGCATTCCTTGCAAGCATTAGTTCCCTGTTATCCCCTTGCCCCTGCGTCCTCTTTCTAGAACCTTCGTGCTGCTTGTATCTCTTTGCTAGTCCAAGCCGGCGACCACATGATGCACACTCGCGAGTCATACAGGACAATGATCACAAGGTCGGACCATTCAATGATACATCTCTTTTCGATGTAGATTCTCTTGGATCTTCTCCTCTAGGATCTCCCCCGTTCATCCAGCTAGCCAGTAAAGCTCCATCCGGCCATTCAAGTACCCCTTCGCTGTCCACGGGCAATCGAGGCTCTCACGGGTTCTGTTCCGTTTGTCTATTACGTCTCATTTCCTCATACCACAAAAAAGCCTTTCTCTTTCTCCGGAGACCGGGGAATCCGCCGACCGCAATATTTCGCGGCGACGCCGCTATCGCCACTGGCGCAGCTGCTTTTCATGTCCGCTCAGCCATCCTTCTCTGACGCGTTTGTGCATTCAAAACAGTTCATGATAGCGACAGTCGATCTGAAACCAGCATGGGAGATTCTGCAGCTGCGTCCGCTAGATTCTCCCTCTGCGTCGCGACTGCCATCGTTGTCAGAACAGATATCCCTTCAGATCACAGCTTCATCGCATTCTACTCCTGTATCATCCGGTGACAAACTGATGGAAAGGAGCGTTGTGGCGAGGAGCAACGCAGCCCGCAAAACTGTTGTGGCAAATACCAAATCCCCACGGCCCCCCTATACGTATTTAGTTTTTCTTCGAATAAAAGCCAGTAGTGAATTCGTATGTGTTAAGCCAATAACAATATCAAAGATGACTGGAAACCCCCACTGGCTAAGCTAGCTAGTTTAGCTTAAAAGCATGCTAGCCCAGTATATATACTTTCACTCTTCTTTACAGTCAGTCCACAGCTATGCTGTTATTGCGACATCAATTCCTCGTATCAGAATGGCTAGTAGTTTTATAGTTGAAGAGTCGAGCCCAAGAGAAGTGTCGTTGGTAGGGTGGTTGGCTGACAGACGCTAGAAACCAAGTGATGTCGCACAGATACACTTTCGCTATAGATTTCTTACTTCACATACGAGACGTCGTACGCACCTTTTTTATTTTACTGCCTATACAGCTGCTACTGCAACTGTGAATAAGCCGGAAAGCAAACGGGCCAACAGATTAACGGGACGGTGGGATAGCAGTCATCGTACCGTCGCTTCCGCAGCAATGACAGAAGAGTGTAATACTTAATTTCTTCTTTTGGACCAACTGGGCCGTAGCCACGTAAGAATGGTCGGACCAAGCGACAAACCCACAAAGCAAACGACGTCAGTTTCGTTCCATCTAAACGCAACTACGACAACTTCGCTCCGATTCACCAGAAAAAGGTAGTGCCTAGTCAGCCAGTCACCTTTAGACACAAATGTAGACGCATGTTTTCCTTGACAGCTCAACAGATAATAGTAATCAACAATAAATCCAATCTAAATTTGTGAGCTTGTTTCGTTTTCGGGTTAGCCAGCTGCAAGTCGACGACGTTCATCACGTGTCTTAAGTTTATTCCGACGAACAGACGCACCCGAGCGGCAGATTGACTTCGATTGTCTCATGCATGAGGTAACGAAGGGTATTGCAACTGCTGTTCCCTTTCTCATCGTATTTTTGCTAATGTGGACAGCACGAACAATGCTTTACCACTTGTACTCCCAGACAACGGTCATCGGTGGCGAGGACAACTACACGCCCGGAAGGCATCGGAGATGTTACCGCTGTTGTTGGCGAATCTGCTTGCCGTAGATGCTAGTACTCGTGTAGGAGGGTAACGTTAAAACCACGTTTGAAGAACACGACAAATTGTCTCGATAAAGCAGGCAAAGGCCCAAGCCAATTCGACGAACAATATGTTCAACTGGCAGCATACACATACATACGGTGCTAACCGCAAGCGCTGCGTTTCTCCTGGGATCGTACGTATATTCGAGACTAATTCACGCTGCCTCTGTGAAGACACATAGATGGGGTCAAGTATTAAAATATCGATTCTAATTACTACGAAGTAATCCAATTCACACTGAGTGTGAGCATTGACACAGCACGTCAACGCCTAGATCAAATGTAGGCGAACAGGTAAGACGTGTAGATGGAAGATCCTCGTAAGGGCCACATCGCTGCCAACAGTTTTCTAATGTGACGCAATCCGAGCTCCTATGCTTGCCTGTCAGGTTATATCTGTTCCGTAGTACCATCCTGCTTAGGATGTTTGTGTCCGCTTAGCGAAACATGCACAAGTAGGATAATGCTTTGTCTACAAGTTCTGTTCTGTAGCTTCTATAAAGGTATGTGTGCATGGGTCTGCAGCATGAGCCATTACCACTAACTACTCAAAGAGCCGTAACAACAATGGCATCAATTCTTACCCGGTTTTTCATTATGCTGAAATGTCGATATAGTACTCACCTTTATTGATCAACGCAAATTTTCGGCAGTATCCCTGATAGCACTTGTCGAGCGCTCGCGAATAACATTCGACAGAGAGCTTTCCGTCAACGGTTGGGTATTCGGATTGCATATCCGGCTTGTAAAAGTCATAGACGTGAGCCATATGTGAGGCACGGACCCCACGCTCCAACACCAGAGGGGCCTGAAATCAAACCAGAACAATGGCAAATAATACTAGTTGACGTTTTGAAATCTTCAAGTATACTCAAAGGATTGAAGATCTAATAATAGATTCCGGTTCCATCAGCTGCAAAGTGATGAACTGTACATCACATCACGGAGCTAGCGAGTCACATGTGGTGCGCAAGCAATTTGTCATCCGCCCCCAAATCCTAAAGCCGTTTTTTCAATTTTAAGTAAGTACCGGACATGCCTAGGATGCTCCTCCTACGGTTAGCGTATACCATCAACTCATTATCCATTTGCTTTCCCTTCTTTTATCTGTTAGCCATATCTCTGACATGTCCATGAATGCCTAGATTTTTAACACAATCTAACCTCAATTTTAACTGCAGGCCTATCAGCAGAATTAGGAAAGCCCTGCTCAAGTAACAGCTCGCCTAGAAAGCAAGAAACCAGTCCTGAGGACACTTCAAAAGTGGCCGAGTATAACTGGCTGGGTATGAGGTAAGGATTTTCGTCGCGTGAATCGGGCGACCTCTACGGCTTGACAGGACTGTCATTCCATTAATAAAAGGTAACGCTTCGACAAAGCGAGGAAACAGGACGAAGGTCGAAAAAGAAAGAATTCACTGATCGTTGTCTCTCTGACCGTTACCCCTGGTTAGTGGCGTTTCCTTTGCACCCAATTGATGTTAATCAGCAAACTCGTCTGAGACGCCCATTTCCCGATCCACTATCGGCCGTCGAGTCGTCGATTGTCTATTATAGCCTTCTCATTCCATTCTCTCTTTAGTTGATAGCTGGCTTTCGTAAGAGTAGACCAACATAAGAACAGAGCCTGCTGCCCTGCTAGAAAGGTTTCTTCTAAGGTTCCGTTCCGTTTCACAACTTCTTGTTCAGATTCGACCTTTCTTCATTACTTCAGCGTCTTCCATAAAAGAGGGCAATATTCGAAGGAGAACATTGTGAAACTTAGTAGCAGCATTATTACTGCTGTCGCTTAGCGCCGCAGTGCATAGATAAATTAGACGAGGGAAATGGCTTTCTTGCGAAAAACCATTAGGGGGGAAATTTTGTACATGAAGAAAGGATAGGCCGAAGCTGTCAAGAATATGGTCTATGTTCAAGCTAACGTAAGTGTTCGCAAGGCAAGAAGGTGAAGTATGAGTAAAACAGTTGACGGGGGAAAATTCAATAATCGTTTGATGATATAACGAAGCTGGAACGTTCTCGTGATTAAACGTTGAAGTTTTATGAAACTCCAACAAGAATTAAATACGATCAGGAGCAAGGTTCTACTAAAATAGTATCTGCCATTGCAATGGCTGAGCCCAAATGATCTTCCAAGCGTTGACCCATTTAGGCGGTGGACGGAAAGCCGCTGTCCATTTGTCACGCTACAAGAACGGTGAGGGCGTCGATAAAGTGGTGCGACAGAATCTCTCTTAAAGGCATAGAAGAGGTGAAAAGCATCAACTTCGCCTGTTACAAAGGCCACAAGTCACCCGTCTTATTGACTAGACCGCGCACACGAACGCTAACAAACAGCGTTTTGTGATATGCCTTATATGTATGCCTACGGATCTCTTTATAAATCGAGTCCGCGGGTATGTTTGAAGAATCAGATAAATGGCAAGTCAAATAAAATGCGCTAACCTAGAAAAGACCTAGCGTATCTAGATAGTCTAGATAGTCCAAAATGGAAAAAAGCCTGTAAGAGTGTCTTTTCTTCAGAGCATACACACAAATCAAAGTACTTCCAAAACTCCTTTTTGATAACACGAGACTGTGGACACGAAGCCATTCACGAACACTTGTAAGCCACCCGCGTGTTTATGTATGCATACACTTAATGGCCTTTAATCATCATGCGATATAGCTATCGCACAATTAACATACGTGTATATACAACACAAATATATAACGACATGTTAAGTCCAACAAGATAGGGAGTTTGTTGGATTCCAAAAAACATGATACTCTAGCCATTATTAGTCGTTCAACACATCTCTTGGGTTGTTGAGGCCATCTTTGTTACATACGTACCTTGGGTTTAACAAGCATTGCGACGGCTCCGGCACCTCCCGTGGGCCGAGCGGGTCCCGTTGCGTAAATGGCGATGTCCGCCGCCACAACAAGCGCCCAGCGACCGTCCCACGCGGACGATTCGACCCAGGCCGCTGCGTTTAACAACGCCTGGGTTCCGCCGTAGCATGCGTTTGTCGTATCAATACCTGTCGATAAAGTAACGTGCATTTTTAAAGAAAAAGAAAGAGCTGAGTATATAAACAAGGAAGTCATCCAAATAAGCTCTTACCTTCATTCAAGCTAAGAGAGACTATTAAGAGCTATTAATAAAAAGACACTGCCATTGGAAGGCACTAGGGCCAGTACTCAAATTTGTTCGCTAGTATGAGATATTAGCAACGTTCAGTACTCAATTACTATGATATATTCTATAATTTAAATAAGATCGTACAAGAATCCACGGTAAAACATTTGTGCTAAACGAGCCCTGCTGCAAATGCACGGATTTATAATGTTTGGTTCTGGGTGTTGTTGGTTCTGGGTGTTGGGTAATGTTTGGCTGTTTGGTTCTGAGTTCGAGATAAATTCGCTAGAGTAAGCTATGTAAGTTACACGCTTTCTTTAATCATTCTTTCAATCGTACACCCTACTTTGTCATAAATGTTGCTATGTGGGGACCAGCAAGCTGTCTGCTGGAGTGCTTTTCCGTGTTTGCCTTTTTCATTAGAACTGGTTGATACGGAAAGGTGTGCTTTAGAGGGTTCGTCTAACCCTGGATAGGAGGGGCTTTCAACTGCTGTGATCATATGAATTTATTTAACTTTAATTATTATGTAACTAAAGCAACCAGTTGCTCTGAAGGTTTTTTTTGTCACGAACGTGCAAAAATTCATGGTGTCCAGTACATCATGTATGTCAGTTTCAGGTTGCTACGTAAACGTATTAATCCCGCGTGGATTTAAATTAGTTTTTTTTACTAATAAAGAAAAGTATTTGTTTATTGATTTCCTTCCATAGGCCGGACTAACTTTTAAAAGGGCATAACGAACAGAAAACAAATAGCCACCATCAACAGGGCAAGAAAGCGCCACGTTCTAGGAGTCATTGCATAGACGATGCATCTAACATTTTGCCTCTTTGTATCTTCTATAACTTGCTCTAATATTATCAGCTGCTTCGTACCTCAAAAAAATGACAGAACCATAAACCACACTAATCAATTACTTCCATTTTCCATTTTTGTTATCTAAAACGCACGTGTTATGCCATTGAATACCAATGTGCCATGTGGAACATAGGAAGTTCAGCATGCACCCTGTGGCATTTACTTTGTCCCATATTTTCCTTGTGGTAATTCTCTTCTAATCCGAACTTGTCGCTTCATATGGGACCCAAGACGACGGTTGCTTAGTTAGTCGACACGAAACGAGAAGCAGCGTTGACGAAGTGGGAGATCATCGATAGACTAGCGGCGATATTGCTGTATAAAGAACAAAGGCAAGGCGGCCTATCGCTGTCCAAACACTGGCTTTGGGGATGTCGATTGTCGAAATTATATGGAAGGCTGGGTTTAGGTACTACGGAGACTCGGCTAACTGCCGACACCTAAGTCGAGCTGTCAAAGAGAAATTGCACGCCTACAAACCTTCTTCGCCTTGTTATTCCTTTAAGCGGAGCAGCAAATCAGTCCGTCATCGCACTATGTATCATACTGAACGTTATTTGTGGCTACCATGCTATCCCCATCGAGTTTGCCACTAGTGCTGCAGCCGCCGCCGTGCGTGGCAGACGATGTCGATCGAAGGATGTGATGTTGGTCAAAGCGAGCATTGTTTGCACTGTACGTTCACTAGCCGTGCCTTTAGCTTTCTTGTAATCCTGATTTTGCTGGACAGAGCGCAATGTGCCTGTCAGAGTTAGTATTATTGCCACCGCGTTACACCGCGTGCAATCCTGTAGGCCCAGGGATATCGGCCTTTTCTACTGGTACGCCCACCCGCACATTCGCTGCCCCTGCGAGCCCTTAAGGTCTGTGAATGAACGTGAAGTTGTTTTGACCGTTTTGCTCTCTGCTAGTTTACTTGAATCGCCTACTTTGTCTCTCCTTCAGCCCCCGCTACTATCGATATTTCTTAAAGTCATCGACCGTCAAAGTTTCCGCCAGTCTGTGCTCGTAGACATCAAATGATGTTCGAGGAACGGCAGGCAACGCATGTGGGAGCGAAACTTGACGACCGGTTCAGTAAATACTCAAGTGGGATAATCCTACTGCCGACGTACACTTTCGGCTTTGACATAGAACCGTTACAAGACGTTACACAGATATACACAGAGGTAGATCTCAAAATTTGTTTATCTCAAACGTGAACGCAAACACACACACACACACACACACGGAGTATATTCCCTTTCAAATGCTAAAATAAACGCTAGTAGTAGAACGTTCATCTCTGAAAAGAGTTCAAACTTTTAACTGATGCCACGCATCAGATTGGTCAAATCTCATTTTCTTCTGTGCGGTTTGTACAAGTGGTCTTGGCGCTACGCCATAAGGACAGTGCCAGTTGATCCTCCTCTTCAGACATCAAGACTCCTCTTCAGACATCAAGCCTGATTTTTTTTGGTCTCGAAGAACAACCAATCGTGAATTGCAGTGGATTTATGGTCAAAAAGCCAGCTGGCTATTACTGCAGCAGCGTAGCAGCAGACGAAGGACCTGAAAGACTTGTCGCCTCATTAATAGTGCACACGGCTGGTATTCTTACAGGAGTTCCCATCTCCAGACAGCTTTGGAAGTTAATAGCTATGGCATCAGTCGATTGGATGGTGGCTGATGTTAAGCGACCCAGCCATAAGACAATGCCTATACATTGGTTATGATCACTACCGAGATACTGGTGTTTAATTTTATGGCGGTTGTTTTCAGGTATGCATGAAAAAAGAAAGTATGGTCAGTATATTATTTACGTGATGGCGAAGGTAATGCGGTAAATTGACCGTTCAGAGGTATCTGACAGGAACTCGAGCTTAAAGATGCTGTCCTCCGCTAAACTCCTTTATGAATAACCTGAAAGTTAGGTCTAGGAAGACGTTTCTTCTCATCATTGATTATATGTATACGAAGCCAGAATGTAGTCCAAAGTCAGTGATATAAAGTGCTGACAGTATGATTTGCATAATCATCATTAGAATATACCCGTTCCTCTTTGCCTCTTACGTTGAAATCCTGCTCCGTCTAACCTGTGTCCTAAGTTTATTCAATTGATATTTTATAAAATAACTAAATACAAATAGCATCTACAACAAAGTTGCTCAGCGATTATATCATGCCTTCCTGTCTGTTTGCGCAGAAGGACACTGAAGAGTGTTCATGCAAAGCTGACTGTTTTTGCCGGCACAGCTGAGCTACCAACTCGTTACACGTATTAGGTGTTTGTAGTAGCTTGCGTCAAAACGCATAGTCCTGGAACCTCTGAAGTCCACTGCTGAAATGGCATATTCGTTCAGAAGCTCACCGACAGATTTACCGCAGTCTGTTCCGCATCAACGACAACGCCAACTTCTAGCCGTTCCAATGCCGAAGCCAATTTGATGGAACTTTGGCCACGATATAAAGTACGAACAAACGAAAAAATAAAAGGAGAAGCATAACTACTAGGACTACTTTCCCTACCGGTCGCCTATATTCACTGTCTTTGCACCTATTTATTGGCACTCGCTTCTCGGGAAATCGAGTGGCGAAGATCTGTGCCGGTGGACTCGGGTCCCAAAATGCATTTCGGCCAGAAGAAAGCCAAACGCTAATGTACGCCACGACGCGTGTTACTCTCCTTGCGTTTCGTGACGGTGGCGCAGGCGGACGTTAGTGCTATATTGAAACTTCTTCCGCCAACGCCGGCGTCGTCGTAAAACTTTTATATCGACCCATAGCGGTTGGATAGCGTTAGACGCTAGCTATGTAACATTGCTAATACCATGTGTGTGGTCTGAATATCACCAACGGGAACAGACGTCGCAACCAAAGACTACAGAAGAGAAGAGGCTGGTCCTAAGCAGAAAATGACCGACTTCGACTGGACTAATCTGAACGCGGAATGGTGGAGCCAATGTTCGTACAACGTAACCAGCTCGCTAAATATAAGTAGAATCCTACCCGCGGACCTATTCCTCTCTTTGCCCACTCACCGTAAGAAAATAGGTAGCATGAAGGCAACTATATTCTCGGCGCATGAAGTTTGCCTCGAAATTAGTAAAACAGCAACGTCAAAAAGCGCTGATAAAAGTACCTGTTTAATTATATGCATTTGTTTATAGTACGTAAACGACCGCGCCTCATGCTGAACCGGAGAGTAGCAGCGCAGCGGTTCTTGAATTTGCAGCCTCTTCCGTATGCCACCGAGCGAATTCGGTTGTGTATAGAGAATACTTGTATGCGCCGAAGCCTCCAGCGAGAACGCGAAGAAATACCCCATAGTCAATGAGGGCAAATTTGCGGAAAAGGTGGTTGGCGTTTTATGACAATCCGCTGACAGACAGCTTGGCTATACGGATAAACGTCAGGGGCCAGGCGCCTGCTTCGGGTACGCTAGACAGAGTAGGATGTGAGGGTCAAGTGGGAAAGTCGATCGTAGTCGAAGCCAGCTGTCTTTGGACAGAAGAGTCCTTCTACTTCCCTTCCGTATTGACCACATATGTCCTGCCTATCTCACAGTCTTCCTTTACTGTTTTGTCTTCTTTTTACTGCTGCTCTTCGTTCGCCACTTCCAAACAGTTCAGTCTCGACTGAACAGGAACTCGGCTATACTTACCAGGCGCTTTGGCCTCCACTGCGGCCGCAACCACCGTCAAGTGAGTCAGGCTAGTATCAGCAGTCTATCAAAGCTTGGAGGCCTACGATAAACAAGCTCAAGGGAGGATGCCAACGAGGCAGCGAGAAGGAGGATCATAAAACCGTGGTCATCATCGTCGCATCGCCTTCCTCACAGCTGATTAGAGACTCGGCCAATTCATTCCGACAATACAGTCAATTCGTTTTCACGCGGTTAAAGAAAAGACAAAGAGTGTTAACAATCCAATAGCGACTGTTCCAGTTTGCCTTTGAAGAATTAATTTAGTTTGTTTTTTTAGTATCATCTGGCTGGAAACGTTGGATATTTCGAGAGGTCCCCAGAGTACAGAGAGCTTCGAGGCTTTCCACGCGCGGGCTTCCAGAGACGGGGTGATAAGCTACTGATAGAAGCTGCCGAAGCGCCTTGGATAGGAATTGCGACGCGCGGCTTCGTTCGTTCATTGGTCAGCAGAGTAGCCAACTGAAGACAGTAGCGTATGCCGCTATTTCAATGATGAAGGTCACGCTGCTAACAAAAACAGGGGAGTCATTTATTTAGCAGTCTTTCTTTTCGCTGCGTTGTTCTTTCTCGTTCTGGTAACGTTTCGATCTTATCATCTCGCTGGAACGGAATGATATGCCGTTCCTCTCGGTAGATGAGGCGGCTACGCTTTGTAAAGATGAAGAAAGCCTTTAAAGAGTAGTTTCATGGGGTTGATGCTTACAAGAATTGCGGTGAAAATACTCGGATTTGCGTAGCAGTAGAGGTACAATAGACATTCGAATTCATCTCCAGACTTCGGCTACACCTGCCGAACGACTTTGCTGGGAACGGTCCGTTCGATATATCATTTTTCCTCTCCTAGCAGCAAGTAGGTTCGACGATCAAAGAACTACCCCCCTGCCAACCATCACCACTGAGCTGGTTCTTATTCAGTTTGCTTTGTAAAGAAGGAGGCATACGAAATAGACGTTACGGCATTCTTACTGTTTTTCTCAATTAATTATTTCAGATAAAAGTAATCTCTGTTACCTGGATCGAGATGGCGCAAGAAGGACTTCCATATGGAAACGACTATCATTGTATTATACCGCTGTTATATTAACGCTCGCTCTGTTATTGAATTGAAGGTATTTCTGAGGCACGCAATCGTCAGAAATATGCTCTTTTGCATAGGATAGCTTGACCATTACTCAAACATATGCGGATATCTTTTAACGGAACATGGACAACACGACTTGTTTTACAAAACAAAGTTACTTCTGTGTTAGTATTTACTCACCCTCTACGTCGGTGTTGTCTCCGAAGAGTTGCATGAGTACGGTCTTGACTGATTTAGATTTATCGACAAGGGTTTCGGTGCCGACCTCCAATCGGCCGATCTGTGAGGCAGCGACGCCGGTGCGTTCAAGAAGCCTCGACACGACGGTCAGGCATAGCGAGTGAATGTCCTCACGATCATTGCAGAAGCCCATCTTGCTTTGCCCAAGACCCACCGTATATTTGCCCTGAAATAACGATAAAAGCGAACAGAATACTAAGAGCCCGATGTTGCACAACAATGCGCCTCAATGTTGCAGGTTAGTCTAGGCTATCGTATCTAACCGGCATTTGTTATTGCCTGCCACCTCGCACCGTTGGAGCATATTGCCATCAACTATTTTCTTCGAACGCTAGCGGGCGAGTACGGCGAGCAGTCCGAAGATGAGTATTTTTAATAAAATGTGAGATTTACTTTACGGTTGTGAGCATAGTATGTTAATAGTTTACTAAACGTAACCGTAATGCTAGCTATCGTTAGCTATTTTATTTCTCATTTTGTTCTCAGATTGAAATTCACGCCGACACCGTCCGCGCCCTTCATTGATTCGCCGCTCAACCCTATGCTGATTTGCTATAATAGTTATATACCATTTGGTATAAGAATACCGTATAGAGTACGCAAGTGCTCAAAGACATGGGAAGAGGCTAGAAAGATACAGCGCACCCACGTACGTTGCTGAGACAGGCCAGATTTGTTACTAGCTAACTACAGTGTCGCTTTACACTGTGATGAACATGTTAATATGATTCAAAATATTCAGGGACACACACATACGCATAAATCATTATCATCATCATCGTCGTTGTCGTAGATATCGCATGCATATAAGATGACAATGGTCCACTACGACTCTTATTAAGAACGCCTAGTTTTTATCGCCCCCCCCCCCCTGAATTCCCCAAAAAAATATTTGCTTATTTTTCGTCTATATTGGACAAGATCAAACATCGTAAAAACTAATTCGTTCGTTGGCGTTCTAATAAAGTGTTTGTAAGTGTGAGCGAGGCCTTACCGGTGGCCACATTTCACACCACTAAGAAAAGGAACAGTATCTAGAATAGGTATTCGGTACATTAGACACTATACCAACTGATGGTATTTTTTGGGGTTTCTGAACAAGAAAAAAAATTCAGCTGATAAACTTATTGTTTTTTGGTAGTAACAGAGCTTAATATCCTGCTAAATGTCACTTTCAAAGGAGTTAGCGAATTTCGATATTGGAACAAAATAATCAAGAGACAATGGGTTTTTCTAGGAACGTTTATGATACTAATGATCATCTCAATAGTGTCTATTCGTTCTCGGATATCTATGGTTGTATATCGCTGGATAACCTTGTGTGTATGTTCGCATCCTTATTGAAGTGTAGCAAAACTCAGCTGAATCCCTTTAGATTAAATATAAATATAAAGATAATTGACGCTGTTATTGGATGAAAATGAAGTTCTACGATAACCTATTTTCCAGAACCCAAATTTGTCCTTTCTAATAAATTGATTGCAGGCTGTGAAATAGTACTTTTCGCATTCGCTAAGTCCGTAAGCAAAAGCATTGGTTTGAACTAATTAGCGATATTCAGTTTCAAACTGCTACTTGTCGCCCTTGTGAGCTTGATGGGAAGCAGAGAACCAACAACAGGTGAATGGGTCACCTCGCCGCGACCCAGCTCGTTATTGTGCCTTGAATACTTCCTTCAACGGAGATTTCCGACTCTCCAATTTTCCCTGCGCAACACTGCTACATTAGCGCCACAATTTATTTTCTACCCATGGTCATCCAGCAGCAGCCCGGGGTCTTCAGATACCGCCATAAAGTTAACTTCTTTACCAAATACATCGACGACCAAAAAGCAGCTTAGCAAGCCATAAACAGAGGAGACAGATATCAGTGTCTCGGATATCTCCCGCGTAGTGGTTCATTAGTTTTCTTGCAGGCTTACAGCCAACTTTCGCGGTCACTTTTCCGTAGGCGGAAAGCTGCTTGCTATAAGAGTCTTGCATTGTGTCGAACTGTACCGTGCTCCCCATTCCAATGCTTCGCGCAATGAGCTTGCTGTGAGGTAACTGCTGGAGCTGGAGAGCAACTGCCAGCTTGTTATGCCAGCACAATTGTCCCCGCACCAAATGCGTTTGTCTGCCTCGTGGTAAGCTGCGTAGAGAAGGCTATACGAGGGTGTGACGTCAACAGCAGTAACAACAGCAGTGGCAGCTGCTGAGTCGGCTGTAGCAGGGCCGGAGACGTGCACAACTCGTGCTGGAAGGGACAAGCGCAACGAACGCGACAACGAATTTCCATCGACTTTACTACCATTTGCAAGGCGCAGGCGGAAGACCAGATAAGCGGGCAGGCTGGCCAATGAACTTGAGATTTCCAAAGGGCAAAATACGCGTTGCTCACACGCGAATTTGTTCCCACCAAACCAGCCAAAGGACAGTTAACAAGCGGAGATAAAACCGCCTTTCGCAGCGACTGCTATGAGCAAGCGCAGAGAAGGTCGAGGGGAAAACAGTGAGGCATGAGAAAAGCAGGCGACGGCTTGCAGATAAAAATGCAGCTAGATAGCGAACCGAGGTTTAAAGGTCGCAGAATCGACAGACACTAGGTCGTCGTTAGCCGTCTTGACGTCGTTGGTTAGACCCATCAGATTAGTGTAACGTGGACTAGGGCGAAAGATTGACGAAAAAGCAGAAAAAGTAAGAAACGGTCAGGACATGAGTTCCGAAACAGCAGTGGGGTAGAAATAAGACGACAACCCCAAGAAGAGGAATTGCTACAAGATGGGGCAGCAGCGGCTCATTGAGGAAGTGCCAAGCCAGCGCCGACAATGAAGCCCACAGCAGCGCACACGCATGACGATATCAAAACCATGACGTGTATTGGCACGTGTGCTGGTTGATGCAATCACTAAAGATTGCAATACGACAGCGATTATAGTTAATATCTGTAAACAGACTCAACAGGCACACGTGAGAAGAATTTGCAGTTGGAAACAGTGTACCGCCAGTATCATTACTACACTCCATTGCAAAAAGTCAACAATCGACTGCTGACTATTACCACTAATTCTGCTGTTTATACCATGATAATTATCGTATTGGAAAAAGGCCAGCGTGCCGAAGCAGCTTGCGCAGCCGGCCATCAGGCCACAAACATGAACTGCGGCCTAACTCATAACACGACTTGAAGAAACAGAGCCAGAGATAAACAACGGCGAATGCGCCGATCCGCCTATTCCTTGCACAGAGATTGCCGCTATTAAAATTAGATTGCCTGTGGCGTCGCGGCGGTCGAACCTATGCCTGGTATTACTAATGCTGCTTCTGTTGCCACTGGAGATACACTCAAATGTAATTACTCTCAATTTACTACTGGCATTTCCACTTTCTTTATTTTTTTCATTTTTCTTCCGTGCGTTCTTATCTTAGTCTTTCTGTTTCGTCGATTGTATTCTGTTCTCTGTTTTTTCTCGCTTTCCCGTCTTTCAGACACGACGAAATGCTAAACCGCAGACCAACTTACCGAGTCATACAATTAGGGAAAAAAGAAAAGCAAGCAACATAAGGCGAGCGCTAGCGTAACAATCAGATTGGACACAAATCAAAACGTCAGTAGATGCAAAGGAAAGAAAAACAACCCTTGTTTTTTTCATTATAGAGCTGTTTCATTGGTGCGGGCTAGGACAGCTGCTACTGGGTACTCTGATTTACTTTCACTGGCGTCCGATACAAGGGTATGTCAACAATCAGGCAACTAACTCTCATAGTAACGCTCTGCAGCCCCTTAGCCAATGTTCGCTCTTATTTTTTTCTGTTCTGTCCCGTCTTCGGCTGGCCGATTATGCCCGTTTTTGCAATAACATTTGCAGTGAATACCGTATTATGCACCGATGATAGGCCAATCAAACAGCTAAACAGAGTATACTACCACGTTCTAGCATCTTTTACTAGCACTGCAGTGTCGTGCAGATGCGTGACACAGGCTTTACACTGTCATTCGATTGAGAGGAGTTGTACGCACTGGGCGTTAAGGCAAGCGATAAATGGGTGAATCAAAAACTCTACTGTTTATTGTTCACTGAATTCGTTCTGAAGGGCGCGCAGATGAATCCAAAGGCAGGAGATGCACGGGTGAAAGGACTCTGAGTAGCAGAATTAGCAGAAAGAGAGACAGAGTGAATATGGGTCTATGAGAGTGATGTTAGCGTTAGATGTAGCGATAGGTGCCGTTAGAGGCGAGCTAGAAAGTTCGGGGGGTTCGAGGCCAGCCTAAGCAATAAAAAAAAGCTGAAAAGAAGCATTAATCTTGGTGTAAATGTATACTAATTTCCTATTCCCACAGGGTCACATGCGTGAAGGGGACTAAAAAAAGGAGGCTACAGTACAGTCAGCTGCAAATACAGCAGGGCATAGAGGGGGAGAGAAATGGCCCAGAGAAAAGAGCCATCGGCCTCCCTGTCTTCATCCTCCGATCCCCTGCTACTTCAACATTCGCCTCCATTCGATCAGACGTTCCTGTTCCGCGATACTTTTCGAGACTTATTTCGCGTCTTTCGTCTCTACATGTACATATATCTTTGTATCTATGTGTACTGGTTTGTTTGCTTTGCTATGGAAATTTACGACAAATCAGGCAGCGTCAGCGACCGATTCGGTAGTGTGGGTAGTCTCAATGCTACTCCGAGTGAAGGGTTCTACGTGAGCTACATTTGAGTGTGTAGAAGGGAACAGACAAGTTTCTGCCAAGTTTCGACTAGCTCAGCTGCTCTCCTGCTTGTCCAGGGACTGCGCCTCTTCGACACTGCAGTGGCAACAGCAGTACGTCCTATAATAGAGAGAGAGGGATGAAGGGAGGGTCCAAATGGGCGGGATAGTGGATAGATGCTATGAGACGATGTGCGGTAAGGCCTGTCTGGCATATCAATAAGACCAGTCGGCCACGTCTCTCCCACAGGCGCCGCAACAAGAACGGCCGTTGCCATTACCATTACTTCGACGTTGACCACTACTAAGGGACAGACACGGCGGCCGTTTCCACAGCTGCGAACTACGAATTCAGGTAATTAAACCTCCCTGCTGTGGCTTTGTGTGCTATTATCTGTAGTTTTGGTATCTGTCTACTATAGAAAAATCACCTTTCTCAGCATGTTCTTTTAGTAACTCCTATCCTCTCTTTAGTTTCCGCCGA